GATCGAAGGACTCTAGGAGAGACTTCTTTTTTTTTTTCTTTGGCCATACCACACGGCTTGTGGGATCTTAGTTCCCCGACCAGGGATTGAACCCAGGGCCCCGGCATTGAGAGCACTAAGTCCTAACCACTGGACCACCAGGGAATTCCCTAGGAGAGACTTCTTGAAGAAGATAAATTTAGCTAAACACCCAATTGAATCAGACCACACTGAGACAAGAGTTATACACCTGGGAGAGAATTTAGGAATAAATTAGTGATAAGCACCATGGAAGACATAGATAGATAGATGATAGAGAGACAGACAGACAGACAGGCAATTATTTACTCCAGGGAAAACAAAGAGTTGTACAAGAAAGGAAAAATCATCATAGTACATTACATGACCCAGCTAACCAACAGCATTTAAATAATCATACTAAAGTATACATGCAATATCGGCCTAATCAAAATGTTGATGTTAACTAGTTTGAAGAGAAGACAGGAAAACAGAAAGCATGTACATGTATGTGAGTAGCAGGGAGAGGGAGGAAGATGAAACAGAGACAAATCCTCATCTTCCAACTGCGAAGTCAATTCATAATGCCTAACTGGAAAAGCAAAAGTAGCATGCAATTTGGAAATATGGAGACAGATACCAAAACAGTGAGTGAAAGTGCTTTTCTCTGGGGAGCATGAAATGAGGGGGAGGAGCAGCAGACTTTGTTTTTCCTCATTTTTTCTTTGTAATAAGTTTTTTTTTTGTTTTTTGTGGTACACGGGCCTCTCACTGTTGTGGCCTCTCCCGTTGCGGAGCACAGGTTCTGGACGCGCAGGCTCAGTGGCCATGGCTCACAGGTGCAGCCGCTCTGCGGCATGTGGGATCTTCCCGGACGGGGGCACAAACCCGTGTCCCCCGCATCGGCAGGGGGACTCCCAACCACTGCGCCACCAGGGAACCCCTGTAATAAGTATTTTTAGAACAGCCTGACTCAAACTGAGTTTGTAACTTTGGTAAAAATACAGACATTTAATAAAAGATGTTACAGCCTCTATGTATTATTTCTCACTTGCTGCCTTGTCTGAGATAAGCCCAGGGCAGGATGGATGACACATGGCAGTTTGTAATTATGCATTTTCACGATCACTTTGTTGCCTCACTAGCAGACTATAAGCTCCCAAGGGCAGCCAGCATGTCTGTTTTGCTTATTGCAGTCTCATCAGCACTGAGCACTCAGCGGGCACTCAACACATACTTGTTGAGTGAATGATGAAATGGGTGAGGCAGATTTAGAAGTCAGCGCTCACCATCTTTACAAATGTATACATAACTGAAGTGTTTACAGGGGAAACGATCCAATGTCTGGGACCTGCTTTAAAATACTCCAGGAAAAGAAGAACTGTGGGGAAAAAAAGTGAAACAAGATTAACAAAATGTTCATAAGAAGTGATGGGGACATACGGGTTCATACTAGTCTCTAGTTTTGTGTAGGCTATAGAAAATTCCCTTAAGAAAAGAGAAATAACAATGAAGGTTGTACAGAAAGAGGATTATAAGGAAGGGGCAGCATCATGGCATAAATTTATTAAATTCAGAATTTGGTAGTTGGGAAGGTTTGTGTAGCAGGGAACACATAAATAAAAATAAGGGTCAGACAGAGAAAACCATAATTCAAAAAGACGCATGCACCCCAATGTTCATTGCAGCACTATTTACAATAGCCAGGTCTTGGAAGCAACCTAAATGCCCATCGTCAGAAGAATGGATAAAGAAGATGTGGTACATATATACAATGGAATATTACTCAGCCATAAAAAGGAATGAAATTGGGTCATTTGTCAAGACATGGATGGATCTAGAGACTGTCATACAGAGTAAGTCAGAAAAACAAATATCGTATATTAATGCATATATGTGGAACCTAGAAAAATGGTACAGATGAACCGGTTTGCAGGGCAGAAATAGAGACACAGATGTAGAGAACAAATGTATGGACACCAAGGGGGGAAAGTTGCGGGGGGCGGGTGGTGGTGGGATGAACTGGGAGATTGGGATTGACACGTATATACTGATGTGTATAAAATGGATGACTAATAAGAACCTGCTGTATAAAAAAATAACTAAAATAAAATTCAAGAAAATAAAAAGTAAGTGTCAGAGAAGAAAAAAATCATGTCAAAAGCAAACCTTGTACCCGGGCCATTAGCCCAAGAAGCTAAATAAATGCTGAAAGAAGGGGTAGGGATACTTAATGAAGACATGGGAAGGGAAAGTTGAATGAAGTACAGGAGTTACTGAGAACTTTAATATTTTATCCTCCAAATATATACCAACAGTGCCTGTAGGAATAGAACTGAATGCCCCTGATGTAAAAGGCTCACACCACAGCAGTGAATAACCCATGCTCTGGAATCAGACTAGCCTGGATCTGAGTCCCGGCCCTACACGTACTAGCTGTGTGACTGTGGACACACTGCTGAGCCTCTCTAAGCCGTAGTTTTCTGTCTATACAATGGGGACAGTAATAGCACCAATGAGATACAATTATTGGAGGTTCCAATGAAGTAAGTTCTGTCAAGTCTTACCCATGCCTGACTTAAGTAAATGGCTAACAAATGGTGTTCACTATATGCCTTGGCAAGAGATTCTGCCAAGAGAGTGAAGATCTTAGCAGTTAAGTTAAAAGGGGACAATTTTGTCAGGAAACAAACTGTACCCTCTACAGTCCTGCCCTGTCCCTCAGGGAACCCTAGGAAATCTCCCAGAGGCACTGACCCTTACAGAGTGGCCGAGCAGTCCACAAGTACAGCCTGCAGGTCTGTGGGACCAGCCACCAAGCAGGGTGATAAGGGTGCCTGGTCTGGGAGCTCTGGCAGCTCACGGCTGGTAGGAGATACAAGTCCCAGCCACCAAAGGCAAGAGGGACGCAACCCAAGATTCACATTTTCTCTGTAAATGTGAAAACAGGACAGGTCCACGTCTCAGGAGAAGTGAACTTAGAGAAACAGGCCCATGTCTCAGGAGAAGTGAAACTCTTCCTGACCCAGAGGTCTGAGGAGTTTCAGAAAGGCAGAGGGAGAGTACACTGGGTGCTTGGAGGAGAACGAGGAGAAAGCGAGCGATGGTCAGCGTACATGTCTCATTTGTACACGCTACAGCCAAATCGCGCCCAGTGGGCAATGACGGGCCACTGTGAAGGCCTTCTTTCCAACAGGGAAACAGCTCTGCAGAGATATGTTTCAGAAAGAGTCTGGTAAAAGGGGCGGGAGGTCTGGAGAACAGGTCCAGACAGTAGGGAGCCAGGACTTGATTTAAGGTATCCAATAAGGAGAGGTTAGAATGGAGAGATATGCAAAGGCAGGAAGATTCAGTAGGACAAGATAAGCAAATGAGACGTGCCAGGCGAGGAGCAATCCAAGGTGATTCCCAGGTGTTCAGCTAAGTCACAACCAGGTGGAAGCTAGCTCGACCCTCCCTCTCAGTCAGGTTTGTTCAGGTCAAAATCCTTGGCTTCACCTTTGACTCCTCTTTCTCTCACTCCACATTCCGCCCAGTCAACGTTCATTCAACAAATAAATGCTCACTGAATGCCAGGCAGTGTTCCAGGTACAGAGGAAGACGGCAGTGAACAAACTAGACCAAAACCCTGCCTTCGTGGAGCTGTATCTTCTAGAAGAAACAGGCAATAAATTGCCTGGAAACAGGCAATAAATAAGATAAATAAGAAAAGCATATGGTATGTTAGATTCTGATAAGTATTGGGTTGGCCAAAAAGTTCGTTCGGGCCTTTCCATAAAATGTTATGGAAAGACCCAAATGAACTTTTTGGCCAAACCAATATTAGGAGTAAAACAAGGCAGAGAAGAGTAATAGAAGTGTACAGGGGAAAGAGTTGCAATTTCAGCAATTCCTATCCACTCTCTTCAAAATAAATCCAGAAATAGACTTCACACAACTTCCACTACCACCAGCACGGTCCAGGTTACCATCATCTCTCAACAGCCTCCTGCTACTGCAGTAGCTTCCCAACTTGTCTGTCTGCTTCCGCCGTTGCTCCCCTACAATCTATTCTCAGCATAGCAGCTCACAATTCCACTAAAACATAAGCCAGATGAGGACACTCCTTCATCCCAAACTCTCCAAAGGAGGAAGAGAAATGGACCAGAAATTCCAAATGCAGCATCACAGAACACTGAAGGTCTAGCAGGCGCGGGAAACTCTAGGTTTACGGTGGAGCTAATCAGCACGGTGCTTGGGGGCTTAGGTGCAGCTGCAGTGAAAACAGCTGGTTCAGTTGATGGAGAATTAAAATGAGCAGGTCACAGAAAACGGAAAGGGCAAAGGGGCTAGGGACTCAAAGGGCCGGGAGGATGGGACTGAGCTGACTGACCCAGAGATCCCCGAGACAGGATTCAAACACTTTCATACTATGGGGACTGGGCACAACCACCAGAGTCTGCCTCTACAGTGGCCCAGAGGCCAAGGAGTTGGCCTTTATGTTGAGCACGGAGGGAAGCTGGTGATGAGCTCTCAGGTGAAACAGAATAAAGCATTTTTGGAGGGTGACTAGCAACTGCCTAGAGAAGAGGCTCAAAGGAGATGAAGCTACAGGCAGGGAGGTGAGGAAGAAGGGGTTTCAGGTCTGCGGACCTAGTCTGGGGACTTGGACCTGGAGTGAAATGGGCATGTGCAGGAAACTCAGAAGAAAGGAGCAATATATTTAGAGACTTGGGGATGGAGGTGCTGGGAAAAATTTCACCCATGAAATACACACTGAAATGACACAATGTTTATGAAAGAAACCAAGAGGAGCCTGAAAGGGCTCAGGGTCCTTGCTTGAAGCATGGTTACAAGTACCTTGGGAGGTACTCAAAGCCTTATTAAAGGATTAACTGTACAATTATTCCAATTTGGGGGATTAGAAAGATTATATCAAAATCAATTGGGATTTGGTAATTTTGTGAAGCTTACTTTAATAAGTTTTAGTTTCCTTCATCAGATTTTCATAGAGAGACTGAAAGTTTGATATAAGTACGAATTTATTGACATCAATTTCCTTAAGCTATTATTCCAACACAGAGAGGGTACTGAAGAGCTGAAGACAATGATAATAAACCCACAAGATCTGAAGTTTTCAAGGCCCACTCCCTCCAGAACAGACAGAGAGAGCAGGAGAGAGGGAGGGAGAGAGAGAGAGAATGAACAAGTCATCAAAAAGAATTGGAAACTGCTTTCAATTACAGTAAGAATTAATGACAGTTTGACAATTTAAGCATTTTATCCAGAAACACATACCTATTCCACAGATACCAAATTGATTACCATATCACTGAGTTTGAAAATATACAAAATATTTGTTGTTCTTACATACTGAAATTAAAGCCTAATTTTTAAAAGTGCACAGTAAAAACAGCATAAGGAAACCTACAATATCCATGGTATGTGTACTGTTTTCCGTTTCACTGTCAACATCAAATTCTGGATTTACCTTACTGGTTACAAATATATTTTAAATACTTCAAGGCCATTTACAACACTGACTACTTTACTAGGTCCAACAACACTCCAGCTTCCTGAAGGCGGCCAGCCCTGGACGTGGAGTCTCGGCCCCGCAGCTCCGCGCAGCAGTAGCAGCTCTGCAAAGAAGTCACCAACCAGCTCTGTAAACTATCGACTCTTGTTCTTTTTAGAATTCCCCTGTGCAAAGAAAAATGTCAACAATAAGAACGCCAACCTCTAGAAAAATCATTCACACAGTTTAGACACCAAGCTGTCTGGAAGCCATATTTCACTGTGGAAAACTTTAGTTTCCAAGAGGGAGAACAGCTGATAACCTTGCGTCGCTAACTTTTGAACAGGAATCACAGAGCAGTTTGTTACTTTTAACTCTCCCCACTTTCTCCATCCGTGAACCTTATTCCCTTGGGGTCTGAGGACAGGCAATAAAGAAAGAAAAGAAAGCTATCTTGGATTTATCAAACCTCAAATATTCATTTTGTTCCAAAGACAATGTAGTTTATGATTTCATAAAGCTGATAAAAACTTTTAGCCTGAACATGTTCCTTTACTGTTGAAATAAGCACCTTTTAAAGGGTCTTAATAGGTACTAATTTTGAACATGTGCCAACTAACACCCCAATGGGAATGATTACTGTCAAGGGGAAGATCAGATACCAGTTGAGAACAAGTTAGAGAGAAGATGTCTTAACTTATTCCCAATTCCCTCACATATGGAGATTTGGACTTTCCAGTTTTATGTAACTTTTCTTCTTTCTGGAGAGGTTCAAATTCCTACATTTAACTATTACATATAAATACTTTTTTTCATTAAGTAGGAAATGATTGCAGAACACAAACATTAAGAGCAAGATCATAGCAAACAAATGGTTTCAGGACGTTTACTTGGCATCCAATGGAGGCCATGTCAACTCAGCCATAAGATGATGCCATAGCAATTTAAATGACTAAAAAATGGGGGAGGTGTGCAAAATACAGGAACCACAGAATGATCAAAGAAAGGTTAACAACAGAAACTACAAAGTGAAGAAGGATCTCTAACTCAGTGTTTTATTAATGACAGATATTCTAAGGACTAGATTAAAAAGTTCTAAGAGGGCTTAAAACTTCCCTCACTTCTAAAGTGGCTGCAATACAATTACCTTTGGGACAATGAGCTTTGTTTGCTATACCCCACAATAACCCTTCTCAATTCAGAACCGAATGCCTTCTGCAGCTCTGAGGCCTGAAAACTTTCCCTATAATCACTGCTACTTTTTTTCAAATGTTAGGTGCTAAAGCAGGCTTTCTCCTACTACTCCCACTAACACATGTGCTTTCTACATGAGTCGGCTATCGCCCTGATGGAATATCAAGAGGCCAAAAGGGTTAAAGGAGGCCCAACACTCCACCCTCTACCTCCAAGCTAAAGTTCCTGAAGCACAAGTAACTGGAGAACCCGAATCAGAACCACACTGGTGGTTACAATCATCACAAGATGTCCCAGAAAAGCATGACAGACATTCTCTGAAGAAGCCAGAGGCCAAACAATAACACAAAACTCCACTGAGAAGCAAAATTACGTAACGCAGATTCTAGTGCATTAACATGATACATTTTCCAAGGAGATACCAACTGAGTGGGATGCTGCTCTGTACCACCACTGGCAGATGCTAAAATGAAGCTATAGTTTGTTCATCTCTATGTCTTCCCCAGAGCCAGCACACGGCAGGAACTCAATACATGCCTGCTAGATCGGTAAGGGGCAGCAGTGGATTTCAAAGAGCACAGGCTGGAGACAGTAAATCCAAGCTGCTGGTGGCAGAGTATTGTCTGAGTTATCAAAATATGCCAAGCATCTGAGATGATGCATGAAACCAACTCTCTGGCCTCTTGAAGCTTACCTTTCATGATAAGAGTATATACATTATGATACAACAAAGAGACATGATACGTGGATATGCCCTTCAACACAAAAACATTACCAATATCTACTGACCCGAGCCTGGACAAGCAGAGGCTTTATGGGAAATGAAATCTATGAAGTTTTTGGAATTTAAAGGACAAGACAGTCCTAGGTTATATGAATATGTATGAGAATAAATTTGCTAAAGAAGGTTACTCTTCAACAGCACCATTTTAGATTCACATAGATAGAGTAATCCCCATCATAAACCCCCCAAGAATCCTCCTAACTAACAGAACAGTAGCAGAAATGCCCAAAATGCCAAAAATGCCAAAAAGCAACCGTCACAGTGTTAGGGCCTCAGAGGTTAGACCTCCTCTCAACTTACAACTCAATCAAACAATCTTCATTCTACTTTCAGATAAGAAGACAAGTGAAATGATTTATAAACACTTCAGATCTCTTAACCTTTTGTTTCTGAAACACACAGCAATGAAATACCTTGTATTAAATACATTAAATATTAAATATTACACTGCAGAGAGACCCCTTCCTCCCCTACCTTACTAGACATCTTTAGTGTGTCAATCTCTTCTCTCTGTTTAGATAGTGTCTCGTTCATGCTGCACAGGTGGTCGCTCATCATACTTAACTGATCCTCATAACTCCTCTTGGTAGTCGTCAGCTCATCCTAAATGGCCAGGGAAAAAAGAAAAGAGAAAGCAAAACCCCACTAGTCATACCACTCTAAAGCTTTTTTAATTTAGGAAAAAAATGTTTGAAAAGTAACCTATCAAGATGACCTATCTGATCAATTAATATGAAGGTTAAGCCACAGGCCTAACAAGAGAGCAAAGTTAAAAGAAACAGGGCAGAGGTTTTTCTCAGCCTTCAAACTATGTTCGGAATTTCTTTGCAAAAATAAAAAAGTTTACTTCTGTGCCAGGTATAAAGATGTCACAAAAAAAACAAGAGTGCTATATGATCTTTCTCAATTCTCTTAGGTTTTCCTGAACCTTCGGTGAGGTGGGGAAGGTGATCTCTGGCATGTTCCCACTACCCCACACCTTGACGGCCCACCATCCTCTAGGCAGGGCCCTCCCTGGAAGAAGCACCTTCCTCTCTCTTTCCAGCTCTCGGGCTCTCTTTGACCTTTTAAAATCTAATCCTGTGCTCCTAGCTAATTTGATAAACGAATTTGAAACCAGGAGGAAGTGCATGAATTATTTCTTTGCCTGTATCACTTCTATATTTAATAGGGGCTTTCTGGAAGCTAGGCTTTAAAACAAAGCAGTGAGTAAGGAGGAAAATTTTGCAGCCCTACCTTTCAGTTTACATGAGTTTTATGAAACAGTAAAGGGAAGGAACAGAGTCACATGAACAGAACAAGCCTCCCGCCCACCATGACAAGGACTAACTGGAAGGAGGAGAAAAAAGAAGGGCTTTGGGTAAATAAGTACTATTCAAAGAAATGCTGACTACAAAACTACTTACAATTAAAATAAAGTCAGAGCAATAAATAATACAACTACTTCTTGCCTGACATAAATGAGATGTTACTTTAAAATGAGTTAGAAATAAAATGGTTAGAAAAATGTTATGTCTAGAGGTTAAATGCCACCATTTGAGAAAGGAAATGCTGATTCTTTTGGCCCAAGAACTTTCAATGAAAAAAACATACCAACACTGCTTAGGTAGCATGAACTCACCTGAAGTCTGCTGTTGTTCTGACTGGCTGCTTTCATCTCTTCTGCCAGTGCCTCTTTAGACTTTTCAGCCAAGGCCAGTCTTTTAGAGAGTGCTCGGCACTGTTAAATCAGAAAACATTCAATTATCCCAGGGACCATTTCCCCAAACCAAATTTACCTCAGGGAAGGTTACTAGAAAACAATCCCCCAAACCGAAAGTACTTCCTCCCTTCCTTCCACAAATATCTACTGAATATCTACAGGCCTTGTACCACACACTGGAGCACACAAAAGAAAGATGTGGTCCTCACTCTCATCATTTTAATAAGGGAAAAAAAGTCTACTAACCCAAGCTCATCGCTGTTTTTTCTTAGCTCTAGCCTGATGACCAGTGGCTACAAAACCACCAGAAGTTTCTACAGTTACCCAGGATTCATTCACACCCACACTGGGTGAGAAGGGAAGTGGCATCATGCAGTATGAATCCTAAGATACTTTTCTTGTGTTTTAAGTCCTTTATTGGAGACCATATCACAGAAACAATAAAAGCTTTGCAGCCCCACTCAACAGATGGAAAAAAAAAAGTGAGTGCAGGACTTCAAAGATCCCGCTTGCTTTCTTTGGGGATTCTAACCAAGGCTATCCAGAGACAGAGTAGATCAAGAAGCAAAAAGAAAAATTCTATTTCATACTACTGTTCAAAGAGGGCGTGCCATTAAAAGGATCACTAAATTTTCTGATAAACCATGAGATTGACAAGGAGGATCTGTTGAGACATGTTCGAATGTTATGTCAACATCAGACGCTCAGACTGACCATTCCAGTAAAGTAGTACAGAGGGTTGCCGCTTCCTGTTTACAGACAAGGAAAAACTAGAACAATTTAAAAATTCTTGTGTCACAATTGTGCTGAAAGAATTTACTAAGATAAGCAAATCTCTTGGAAATAAGGCAGCCTCAGAAATTCCCCGGTTACTCATTTCACTCCTCACAAGAGAATTTCAGGAAAGTTCAGCCAACCAAATCAACCACCCTCCTTTAACCGCACATCTATCGGTGTGCTTAGCACTGAACCTGAAAAAGAGGGAAAGAGTTTTGCAAAGCACGGGTCCTCATGAGGATGACAATCAAGTCTAAGAGAGTAATTCAGAAGGCAGTTAGGGATCCAAACCAGGCCACCATGATGTGCTGCGTGCACTGAGTGGCTGGGATGGTAAGCACTGCAACAGTTCTATGGTGAGTCGTCCAGCTTGCCATCCTCCCCGTTTTCTACAGCTCAACAGCCATCACTACTGATCATCTTATCAAACAGGTATGCATCACTAAGCTAGGCACATCATTCATTTCAGCAGGAGGAAAGAAGCAAAGCCCCCCTCCACTCCTAGCAACTGGATTCCCATCAACTCTTCTCTGTCTCTGTAAAACAGGAGAAAATCACAAAGTCGCATCCCAATGAAGGGTGTTGTCTTTCCTTTGTCAATTTCCTTAACAGTTTAAAGCATTATAATTCTCCGTCTAACATCTATAACTAACCTTTTAATGAAAAGTTTCCCATCAGAGACCTTACAGGTATTCTTATATATTGAGCGACATCCATTCTATCTTATCATTTGTTTCTCACTCTTTGATATCTGTAATTTCTTCCTTCATTTTCTCCCCTTCTTATCAATGAATTTGTATAATTTTATTATCTTGCATAGTGTTTTTCTAATCCTCTTAAGAAAATGAATTATTTGGTGAGGGAAGAAGAAAATGTAACAAAAAGAAAGATTTTGTATTTTTTAAAGGTTGAAAGAGGTTACATTTTGCATTTTATCATTTACAAAAACTGATTTCCACAAGTTGTCATTAGAAACTAGAGAGTATTTAAAAAAAAAAAAAAAAGAACCAGGCATACTTTGCTTTGAATTTCCCTAAACGAAAATTCCTGACCTATGAATGTTACCTGCCTATAACTCTCTAAAACAAGATTATAATTATAATCTATAATTATAATGCTCCAAAACATGCTACATAACCATAAGAAAGGCTACCTGTTATATTCACTGCAATAAAGATTTTTGGTTGGTATGTGGACCAATCTCTACGAACTCTAACCAAATCCATATTGCAGACACACAGACTCTGACCTCTCTCTTCTAGTGAACAGCAGGAAGCCAGGACAGTGACCTAATTCCTGAAGGGGTTAGAAAAATCCACCTGATCCAATTAACTCTCCACTCACCTCAGCATAAAAATGCACTGACTTGCTATCAGCCAGCTGCAGCTGAGACGTCAGTTCCACTATCCTTGCCATGTAGTGATTTCTAATTAAGTCTTCCCGAGATTCCACATCTGGAGCCTAAACAGAGCACACATAACTCAATAAATAAATGCCAGTGGAATGAAGCAGTTCTGAGAGAGAGAGAGAGAGAGGAAAAAAAAAAAATAAATATCACTTTAGCAAAAAAAAAAAAAAAAAAGACATTTCCTACATTTTCCTTTGAAATTTGATGGGAAATCCTAGTTTTCCCACCCCTCAGAGAAACTTCAGACAGGGCAGGTAAATAGATATGACAAATTTCTTTTATTCAGCACCCTGCCTATCTCACAATGAAGCTGGGGCTTCAAGAGAACAAAGCAGCAGTGAAGTCTTGGGAGGCCCACCACCCATGGGGCCATGTCTCTCCACTCAGTTTTTACTTGCCACACACCTAACTTGCAAAATCTCAATCTGTCTGACTCCTATGTCCTCCTCTAACTGGAAGAGAACAGGTGAAAGGGGAGCATTTATTGGAACTCCTAAAAATCTGAACATTCTTTTTTTCCCCCAAATTATCTTAAAAAAGCTCTTATACTCTTAAACATACTAACAAATTAAACTATTTCTATAATGAACAATTTATGGCCCTTGTCCCAGACTAGATTTCTATTAGTTACTCTAGCAATGACACACCACTCAGTTTAGTTTAAAAATATATGCAGAAGTTCAAGGTTACCTAAAGTATAAGGCTAATAAGGAAATCAAAGAATTTACTTGAACTATATTTACCAGTTTACCATACTGACTGGAAAGCTGAGTGACTTCAGTGTTCTTTTAATGGTTATTTGTGAGCTTGTAATATCTGTAATATTTCAAAATCTTGTAATATTTCAAAACTAAAATGTGCAAACCTATCTGACAAGCCAAATCTGACCTGGGTTCAGTCACTTGAGGGCTGAAAAGAACTACCAAGCCCACTGATGGTCAAGGCCCTGAAAAGCCCCGCTTTGCCAGCTGGCCCACTGGGAGGGTAATGGCTCACAGCCTCCTGCCACATGCCAGCGAGCTTGTCAAACTGCCAAGTCAAGTCATTCAAGGAGGCAATTACAGACAGGCTGTAATTTATTGGTGACAGTTAAAACTGACCCAGAGAGAAAAGCAACATGGATCCACATTTGCTAGAATTGTCAGAAACGCAATTAGATGAAGCTGACTTTTGCCGGATTTTGTCAACAAACATGTGGCAAGATGTTTACTAACAAACAACATGATGTTAAGCACACATTACCTCACTGTCAGACGTCCTGGTTAAAATCCCAATCTAGAACATAACGGAAAAAAGCTTTAGAACAGACTGCTTACACTTCAAACGCAATAGCTTAAACACTTGTAATGTTTTCCTCTTCTCAGTTCACACTGTTTCAAAGCACACTTGTGGGAATTCCCTGGCAGTCCAGTGGTTAGGACTCAGCTTTCACTGCTGTGGGCCTGGGGTTCGATCCCTGGTTGGGGAACTAAGATCCCACAGGCTACATGGCATGGCGAAAAAAGTAAAATAAAAAAATAAAAATAAAATAAGCAACATTTAAAAAAAATAAAACAAAATGAACAAACAAAACAACAACAGCAACAAAAAACCAAGCACACTAGCAGTGGAGTTCTAGACGATTACCCTCAAATCAATCATCTTTCAACACAAAGAAGCTGGACCTACAGATAAGTAACCACAGTCATGATTTCTATCATGAGGCAGTAATGGATAGTGACCATCACTATTTCCTCTATCAGAATGCTGTTAGCCGTTTTCACTGAAACCCAACAAACTGTCTGGGAAGAGAGAGAGGAAGAACAGTTTTTAACTCCTCTTGTCATTGCTATGCTTACTTCCAAAGCAGCGGCCAAGGAGGCCTAAAGACAGTTTCATGGCAACCATAATAACGAAACATTCCAAACGCAAAACACAAATAGCAAACTCTCTGGCGGAAAGGTCAAAAGGATAAAGAATATCATTATGACATTAATAAGTATTAACTTCAGATTTAAACTAATGAAAAAGTATATGTATTATAGACATACTGAAGTGCTGCCAGGTTTTTTAAAGGTTGCTTTTGTGGATTCAGAGTTCAAAACCAGATAGTAGTCATGGTTCTTGAATTCATTTTATTGTTTAAAGTGGAAGGGCATGTGCTTGGGCTCAGTAAGTTAAGGAAACTATTGGAAACTCAGTTTTGATAGATTCTGTTAATCAGAGATGACACCCAACAAACAGTTTTCATGGATTCTAAATAATATTCTCAAGAGTACTACTCTGAACTGTGAGCAGTATATGAATGTTATGCCCAACTAGCTGTAAAAGGATCTTTTTTATAAGACCTTTTTTTATAGAGGAGCCATAATTTTCTACACACTAAAGCAGGAATAGCAATTAGTCTTTCAGTGAAAAACCGTTTACAGTAACACACTCATCATTTTAATTTTATACATTCAAATATAAGTACATTTGGCAAAATAAATCACAAGCATGGGATCTACCCCTTATCCCCTTTACTCCTGGGTTATGGTTTGAGAATGTGGTACAGCAAACAGTCCTGAAAAGGAATGGAATCATATAACTTCAAGAAAAAGTTGCGAAATTTATAATTTCAACATTTTCTCATATGCCACTGATGAGAGTTTAAACTAATACAGTCCTTTGAGAAAATAATTTGGCAGTAGAGATCAAGGAACTTAAAAACATTCATGCCTTTTGACCCAATAACTCTAATCCTAAGAATATACCCCAAAGAAATCATCTGGATGCAGAAAGAATCTTATGCATAAAAATGAGATGTTATTTAAAATAATAAAAATTATAACCAATGTCATAGGTAAACTAAAGTATATTCTATATAGAATACTATGGAATCAATAACTAAGTTTACATAGAGTTTCTAATAACAGGATGTTTGTTTATTAATGTTATGCTAAAAGATTTTAAATTTTATATAGTATAATGTCAACCAAGTATGAAATTATGTAAAAAAAATGTTAACAGTGGTTGTTGGGTATTCAGGAAAATGTCAACATTTTTTTCTTCTTTCACTCTTCTGTATTTTAAAATTATCTACAACGTACATGTATTGTTTTTATACTTGAAATATATATATTTTAAAATTCTGTGAATTTAAGCAGTGCTTTTTTTTTTTTTTTTTTTTTGCGGTACGCGGGCCTCTCACTGTTGTGGCCTCTCCCGTTGCGGAGCACAGGCTCCAGACACGCAGGCTCAGCGGCCATGGCTCACAGGCCTAGCCGCTCCGCAGCATGTGGGATCTTCCCGGACTGGGGCACGAACCTGTGTCGCCTGCATCAGCAGGCAGGCTCTCAACCACTGTACCACCAGGGAAGCCCTAAGCAGTGCATTTTAATTTCAGCAAAAAAAATGAAAACTTGTAGTTTTCTGTGCTTTTTCTTTCTTGAGGTTACTGTTATCTTTTTTTTTGGCTGCGTTGTGTCTTCTTTGCTGTGCACGGGCTTTCTCCAGTTGCGGCGAGCGGGGCTACTCTTCATTGTGGTGGCTTCTCTTGTTGCGGAGCACGGGCTCTAGGTATGCGGGCCTCAGTAGTTGTGGCTCGCGGGCTCTAGAGCGCAGGCTCAGTAGTTGTGGTGCACGGGCTTAGCTGCTCCATGGCATGTGGGATCTTCCCGGACCAGGGATCGAACCTGTGACCCCTGCATTGTCAGGCAGATTCTTTGTGTGTGTGTGTGTGTGTGTGTATGTGTGTGTGTGTGTTTGCGGTACACGGGCCTCTCACTGTTGTGGCCTCTCCCGCTGCGGAGCACAGGCTCTGGACGCGCAGGCTCAGCGGCCACGGCTCACGGGCCCAGCCACTCCGCGGCATGTGGGATCTTCCCGGACCGGGGCACGAACCCATGTCCCCTGCATTGGCAGGCGGGCTCTCAACCACTGCGCCACCAGAGAAGTCCCTATCTTTTATTACAATAATTAACAGGGGGCTGAATGTTCAAATTACAGTCCTAGATATGTTAATTAAACATAATAAACATTTAACTTTTGCAATGTTATAGGGTTAGAAATAAGAAGTTTCTATCTGATGTAACTTTTTCAGCCCCAAAGTGCTTGAACCAAAGGAATCTTCTGGGGACTTTTGAGTTTCCTTTGTTAGTCAATTAACTTTAAAATGGGCATAGACTTTGTACCAACACCCAAGAGGAAGACAACAGAAGGAGACACACACACTCAGTTCACTTAACTTCACTTAAGGCAGGATGGGAGGTTGCGGGGGGTGGGGTGATAAAAAGAAAGGCTGAAAAGGAAACATCAGGGAAGGCAAAAAAAAAAAAAAAAAAAAAAGCCTCCCTTTTTCTCTCTATTGTCTCCAGGTTATTTTCGGCAGGAATCTGCCACGTGCAGAGAGAGAAAGTGAATTATGTGGGGAGACCCTTCTCTCAGCCTGAAATACTCTTCTCCTGCCTTGGCCTCCTGCTCATTTATGAAACACACCCATGTTACCTCCTTTGGGATGCCCTCCCCAAGCCCTCCAGGCGACTTCTCTGTCATCTCCCAGCACTCTGGACAGATGTCTATCCAGGCTCTCATTCCATTAGACTGAAAGCAACCACGGGATGGGAATAGATTCACCATATAGACTAGACTGTGAAAAATGCAAGGAGGCCAACCAGGTCTTGGTTCTCTGATCCTGACTGTCGAAGACAATGCCCAAAACTGGGGTTCATGGAAAATGTGGCAACTCAACTGTACCTTAATGATGGGAAGAGTTTTGAATTCAAGAGAGTCGAGGAGTTGGAAGGCAAAGTATTTGAGTATGTAGGTGACAGGAGTTATGAATAAATAGGCATCCAGGCAAAAGAAACAGCTTGAACAATACAGGGAAGCAAAAACACAAAAAACGTTATCAGGAAAGAAAGCTCGGATTGAGTTTGTACAGGGAAATGCTGAAGAAAGGTAGTTTGGAATAGGTGTTCACAGACCTTGAATGCCAAACTAATGAGTGGACTATATCCTATAGATAATAGGGAGCCACTAAAAGTCTAGAAGCAACAGAGTGCATAATCAGTAACACACTCTACGAAAATTACTCTGCTAGCACCTTATGAAGTGGGTGGGAGGAAAGAGATCCTTAACAGATGCAGACAGAAATAGCACACACATGCTAACCAGACAGACAACTGAAAGTTATAGCAACTTCCAAACTCACCAAACCCAAATAAAGTCATCATCACTCACAGACCAATAGTGTTTGGTACTAAAGGTTTCTCATGTCCCTGGAAATCTTTCTCACTTACATATGTAAGAATAGTGTGCTCTCCTTTGAAAATGTTCAAATAAAAAGACAGTCCTCAACTTTCAGCAACTGACATTAATGACTCAAATACACCAGTGTTGCCAACTTCCAGTACTTCAGAAAGGCAAGCCATAAACAAATACGTTTGTCCGCTGATCTATTTTCTGACACCCATCAGAGCACAAGGCCATGCTGATTAAAAGGACAGGGTGTGGACCTAGATGTTCTGGGTTTGAACCCTAGATCCATCACTTACCAAGTGTGTGACTTCAGATGAGTTACTCTACCTCTCTGTCCACCAGTTTCCTCATCTATAAAATGAAGATATGATAGTACCTGCAACCTCATAGGATCTGTGTGAGGACTGACTGAGTTAACACACTGAAAAGTCCTTAGAACCGTGGCTGGCATATGATTACTGCAATTACTATCACTGTCATCAGTGCCCTCCCTGGTCTGGTCCCATAGTTACTCCCTGACAGCACCAATTACTGTTAGTGCAAATGGGAGAAAACGGAAGGAGCAGATGCAGGGAAGCAGGGAGAGAAGACAGGAGAAAGAAGAAATCAGACCCAATGGAGAACAGTCTGACCTGATCAATAACCAGACTCTGAAGGAAAGTCCAAAGATGAGTGCTGGCAGTGCTGCACTTCCCCAGATGGTACCCGAACTGATGTCAGGATTCTGCTCTGTTTGCTAAATGTTCTTCTAAGCAGTCACCTGCCCCTGTCAGAGGCAACGTGCAACACCTGCGGCTGAGACTCAGCCTTGCCATCAGGGGTCACATAGGATCATCCAGTGAGCATAGCAGCCATTCAAACCACTGCTCTGAGAAGTCTGCTTTATGTTTTTTACTTTTCTAAAACATTTTCATTCTTTTTTCCTCCCCTACATTTTATTATGAAAATTTTCAAACATATAGAAAAAAGTATGATAATCATATGTAGCCACCATCTACATTCAGTAATTAACAATTTGCTCATTTGCTTAATTTATCTGTGTGTGTAGATATTTCCTGAACAATCTGAGAGTAAGTTGCAGATATGATGATACCTTACCCTGAGTACTTTAGCATTTATCTCCAAAAAATAAAGGTATTCTCCTAAATAATCCAATTATCATTATCACACCTAAGAAAACTAATAATAATCCACGTTTCTCACACTGTTGAGGTGCAGTGAGGTCTGTATACATCTTGAAAACGGAAGTTAATTTGTATATATTACTATCAGGTATGCTCTGAATCAGATGCAAGGGAGATGTGAGAAGGACCATGACTTGCTGTTCAAAAGCATTAGTGAGCTACAGGGGTAGCCTTAGGACAGGGCTGTCAAAAAGTGCCATGGTTCTCCTTAAATTTCTCAAAAAATGCTAACGAAAATATATTTAATGAGATCATTCTAATTTTGAGGGTTTTTTCCCCTTCCCTTCCTGATTTCAGTTTTTCTAGATTTTCTAATTTTTTTTTAACAGTGGGCAGAAAAATATAATCAGAAAACTTTTCTCAATGTAACTGAATTTTATAATTCCAACAGAGATGTTTCTTCACCTTCTAAATCACTGCTTTAAATATAAGCAAGAAATATAAAGTTGCAAAATAACTTGTCAGTATATTGTCTTATGAAGTTTAGCTAATCTGATGGGTTTCTATATTATACGTATGTCATAAAGCTTTATACTACCTAGGAATACACCATGTAATTGGTTAAAAATGGTATTTGTCGTCATTTCTATAAAAAGTTAGGCAGTTAGTCCTTTGTCAGAAACATAACCCCCATATCACCAATGCTGCAGTGGAGAAACAGAATCATCTTAAATTTGACTTACTATATCTTCTCCAGGAACACAAGCCCTTACCGTGGGGAAGTCTCACATGTAAAATCAAAGAGAATTTAATAAGGTTGCTTTTTTGAAGGGGGCATCCTGCTTACCAATCTGCTTTTTCTAGAGCACATGGATTATTCCTGTTATCAAGTGACATGTACTTTAGATGGTTAACACTGAACACTAAGATGGATTCCCACCAATTACCATTTAAAAAAAGACACTTACCAAACTAGTGCTGTGAACGGGCACCGGCACAGCCTTGGCAGACGCATCTTCCTGGCCCGCAGCGGTCACCACGGCGGCCCCTTCCTGGGCTACCCCAACCGCCTGCCCACTACTTGTGCTCTTCAGTTTATCTGCAGTTCGCTGGTTTTCTTTCTCCAGCTTGATTTTAGCTAACTGTGCTTCCAACATCCAATGTTCTTTTTCCTGCTCCAGTTTAGAAATCTTCTCCAAACTCTGCTGAACCTTGAAAGCAACAGAGAGTTCTGCACCTTAGAGGATGATGCAGACAAAACTTACCAGCCAAAAAAATACTTTATGGAATGTAGACCAAAACTACTTCACAGGTGTGAAAACAAAAAAGCTTGATCCTGGAATAGGGAACGTTTTATTAAACAGGATACAAAAAGCACAACCATAAATTGAGAAATTGAACTAGAATGAAATTTTTAAAATCTCTATTTATCACAAGGTATAATAAAGAGAGTAAACAGGAAAGCCACAAAGTGGTAGATGCATGTATCCAACAGTGGACTAATACCCATTACATATAAAGAACTTCTATAAATCAATGATAAAAAGACAGTCAACCTAATAGAGAAACAGGAGAAAAGGAGACTTGAATAGGCACCTGAACGTTACTATAAACATAAAAAAGAAGGTATCCAATGTCACTATTAACCAAGGAAAAGCAATTTAAAACCACCCAAATGAATAAAAACAAAACACACAAAAAAAACACCCAAATGACTAAAATGAAAGACAGAAAATACAAAGATGGACATGTTTATGGAGCAACTGGAACTATCATATAGTGCTTGTGGGAGTGGAATTTGGGACAAACACTTTGAAAACTGTTTGGCAGGATCTTTGAAAATTGAACTTGTATCCTATGACTTAGCAATTCTACTTCTAAGTATACGCCCAAGAGAAAAACATGTATGTTTATCAAAAGACAAGTATAAGAATGCCCATAGCAGCCCTACGATAGTCAAACACTTGAAAACTACCCAAACAGTCATAAGCTGTAAGAATGGATAAATAAATTATGTATTTTCACACGACAGAATACTCAACAGGAATGAAAATGGACCAATTACAACTACATATAACATGGATGAATATTATAAATATAATGTTGAACAAAAGAAGCCAGATCTGAAAGAGATGCTACATAATTCTCATTTAATATGAAGTTCAGTATCAGGCAACAGAACAAAGAATGCAGGATAATGGTTACCTCTGGGGAAAGAGGAGAGTAATAACTGGAAAGGGGCATGAGGAAAGTTTCTGAGGTCCTGGCAGTCTTTTTTTTACAGGTATATACCTTACATAAAGAAATATTCTTTTCTAAAAATTTTATCTAGCTACCGGTTACATTAATGTGTTTACTTATGAAAATTCACTGAAATATATTAATAATTTATATACTTTTCTTTAAGTATGTTATGCTTCAATAAGAAGCTTAAAAAAAGCTAATTTTCAAGGCAAATGAAAGCTTGAGAATTAAATAAAAACAATCTTAAGAGTGAATTCCAAATGCTTTACCAACTATCATCGTTGAACAATTACCACGTACCACTGTTCATGATATTTTCCTGCCAGTATCCTACTGAAGCCTCCTAACAGTCCTACAATTCTCACGTCTCAAAGAGGAGAGCTTGAAGTCCCAGCAGCTTGACCACCTGCAAAGCTAACAAACAGAGCCAGGATGTGGGACCTCATGAGTCTGGCTCACAAGTCTGATTCTTTTCACCCTATCACACTGCCTCTCATTGGCTCAATTAATCCTTACGGGACCCTGAAAGGTAGGTATTATCCTCGCTTTAGAGAGGCAGGATGTGAGACCCGGAGTGCTTATCAGACTAGCCTGCAGCTGGTCAATGGCAGAGTGGGAAAAGCAATAGCTCTGAAGTCAGACCATTCTGCTACTTACTAGCTACTATGGATAAAAGCTGTTTAATTTCTTTGAGCCTTACTTTCCTCACATAAAATAAGAAGGAAATCTAAAATGAATTTTTAAGATACTCCACATTTCACTGTTTGTCTCAGGAATTTTTTTTTTTTTTTTTTTTTTTGCAGTATGCGGGCCTCTCACTGTTGTGGCTTCTCCCGCTGCGGAGCACAGGTTCCCGACGCGCAGGCTCAGCGGCCGTGACTCACGGGCCCAGCCGCTCCGCAGCACGTGGGATCTTCCCGCACCGGGGCACGAACCCGCGTCCCCTGCATCGGTAGGTGGACTCCCAACCACTGCGCCACCAGGGAAGCCCAGGAATTTTGTTTTTTAGGAATTATTATGTGGATTAAATTTTTAGCTTCAACATCCTATTGAATTAATGTTGAAAAGATAAGTGATATGTGTCCAATGAAAATAAGGTCGGCATAGGCAAAATACTGTTTCAGATAAATTTGTGCTCTCTTTAAAATAAATGTTTCCAAAACTAAAGCAAGCCAGGTGTTAAAGTAAATAAATCTCTGGCGAATGCTAAACTGGGGTCAGTTTGTACCAACTTCTGAAAAAAATAATACCACCTACCTCCACCTGCCACCCAAATTCAACTGATCAATTGAGCATTGGAAATTTTTCATTCCTGTCCATTTAGGAAATAAAAATAACTCACTGAGTCTCTAGCCACACCCCCCTTTTTTGCCTTATTATTTCAGACATTTAAATCTAGTACCTAAATAATTAATCAGCATGGCCAGAGTGTGCTGATATTACTTTACTGGCAATCATAACACCAATTGAATCAGGATGACTTATTTAGAGTATCAACAAATGGTTTTCAATGAATTATGCTTATGGTGCTTTTTAAGCATGTGTTAATTAACTTCACATGTTTACTTACATAGCCTTTTAAATTGCTCTATGTGTATGAAAACCTTTTATAGGGGATTTTATATTCATGCTCTTTAACAAGTACCATGATTTTCCCGATGCCATACCTGTTGTGCAAGGCCTTCTCGACTTTCAGTAGAGCTGAGAAGGACCCGGCGGTTTGCCAGTGCTTCTTCATAAGGCACAGATTCCAAGAGAGGCTATGGAAAAAGCATCATAAGAAATAAAGAAAAAGGTCGCATCATTTCCCTGATCTTACAAATAAGAATGCTAAATGAGGTTTGATAATAAAATTCAGATGTATGTCCACATAGACTAGTTCCTTTAATACACATAAAAAAAGAACTTTAAAAATAAAAGAAAAGAAAAAGAATGAAGGGGAACATGTCATACCAGTTACAAGAGACACTATCTAAAACCATAAGACTTGCACCAAAATAGACAGATGAAGGAATGGCAAAGAAAATCTAGAAACAGACAAAAGCACATACAAAAATGTATTATGTGACAAATGTTGCATTTTTAAGTCAATGCAGAAAGGATAAGTCATGCAAGGACAATCAGTTAATAATTTAGAAAAATAACTATTTAGACCCCAATTTCATACCTATATCAGAATAAATAAATTCAAGATGGGCTGAAGATTTCAATCTAAAAAGTTTAGACCACAAAAATACTGGAAGAAAATATAGGTGAACTGACTTTCCAAGAGTCACCTGAGAATCACCACCGTAAAGAAAAAGCCTGGTTTGATGATATAAAAATTAAAACTTCTAAATTTTGAAAAATTATTACAGCAAACTGAGGAAAAATATTTCCGACATAAACAAAGGACTAAAATCCTTAACATAGAGCTCCTTCAACCTCAATTAGGAACATTTATTTAAAAACAGGTAAACAACTTGAACAGGAAATTGAAATAATATAAACAGTAAATTTATGAAAGGATGTTCTATTTCAATAACAAGCAAAGAAATGAAAATTAGAACAATAACACAGAACTTCTTGTTTCTAAGATTGACAAATTAAATTTACGGGTTAAATTTAAACTTCTATTGCTGGTGAACTATAAAAAGGTAACCTTTGAAACATTCACAGACTTTGAATGAGCAATTCCATTTTTAGGAATTAATCATAAAGATATAATTAAAACAATTAGGTAGCCTTATACGTTTCTAGGAGTGTACAACCACTCTTACGGGTAATCTGGCAGTAAATATTAAAACTTAAAACCACATTATCCAGAACATTCCACCTCTCAGTAATCCACACATATGCCCAAGGAGGCATTTACAAAGCTATCCATTGCAGTATAATTCTAACAGTGAAAAACTGGAATCAACCTAAATGCCCACCAAAGAGAGACTACCTAAATGAACCACGGAATACCTATATCATAGATTTCAATGCTGTGTTTAAAATGAATAAAGTAGCCATTATATCTATTGATACAGACAGGTCTCTAAAACATATTTTAAATGAAAAAAGGAAGCTACACAATGAAATATGCATTTTAGTTAAAAAAAAATTAGAAAAGTCTTTATATTCTTCATATTTTGCATATAGTTCAAAGTTTACAGAGATGAGTACAAATGCTCCAAGAGTCTGGAAGGTTACACACCAAACTGATAACTATAGTTACCTCCGGAGAGGAACTGGAATTAGGGATTGTAATTTACCTATAATGCTCTCATGTAATATAAGAATGTATTTATGCATTGTGTAACTAAAAGTTAGAAAGAAATAAAGAGAGAAAGGTAAATACACAAAGTTGCATGTGCAAGAATATCCCCTGTAGTATTGCACATAACAGTGAAAAATAGGAAGCAACCTAAAAATCCACTAGCAATGGATGGCTTAATTAAATTATCACACATTTATAGAATGAAATACTATAGATGAAATACTAGATGCATTAAAATGATAACAATTTATACTTATAGATATATATTTTTGTTATATAAAGATATCCACAATGCATTAAAGAGGAAAAAACAGATTCTGAAACAGTCTATGTATCCAGATACATTGCTTTTTATAATGTGTGTGTGCGTGCATGCATGTATACACATTAAAATTTTATGGTTAAGAGGAGCTACCTTTGGGTTGTGGGACTTTCTTCTTCATGTACTGCTGTTTCTTCTGATTTCTTTTTGCAATGATCATGTATTCTTATTATATTGAGAAAAAAATTATAAATGTATTTCAATTTTTTTTATTTCTACAAGTTTAAGATTTTCTCAAGTTTGACACTTAATGGCTGCCTGGCTGTCTCACCCTAAACACTCTACCAGCCACTGGAAACGTTAAGTCTAATACGGCCTAGGAAATGAGATTCAGGTCTCTGTCCCATCCTCCTCTCCAAAGACCCCCGCCCACCTCACAACACCCACCAACCACCTGTCCCTCAAAATTGTATAAAACCTAAACAATATGAACTGTGGGAAAACAACTGCCATTCTCTGGAATTTTTCCAGATTTTCCCTCTGATTTAAATGTTAACAGCAGCTCACAAACCTTTCTCAAAGCCTTCATGTAGGCAGCAGCTTTTTTCTTGTATTGCAGCATGCATTCAGCTGAGAGAGGACTGATGAATCCACTCGCTGTCTTAGGCCCGTAGCTCAGGGAAGCAACGAAGTAGTCCACGTTGTTGCTGAAGAAAGATGCAATCTAAACCAAGTGTGACAAGAAGATAAATTTTATTTTCCAATAATATATCTAAAATATATATCTAATAGTTTTCAGATCAAAGTTAAGGATACTCAGAATGGAAATGAAATTTCAACACATGCTCAAAAGCCCACATTTATTTGAAAAGAATACATAGGGAATGATTTATAATAAACACAATACAGTATAAATTTTGAAACCAGACTTGTGACATGTCTTAATCTAGACAAATTCTACTGTTTCTGAAAACCAAGGCTGATTCTGATTTATTCTGTAGACAATGTTTATGAGCTGTTTACCTTACTAAGTCTGCCCCTGCTCTCAAAATATATACGTTTGGGTTTATACATTCCGTTTGCATTTTAACTTTGAATGTTTCATATTCCAACACAAGACATGACACAAGCATATTGAATATATGATCTCTACTTAAATTTCATTCTGTAAATCTCAATCTGTGCATTACAAATATAACAGGAAAGAAAAAGACTGAAAATTCAGCAGACCCTTGTCATTTACAGATTTAACATTTGCTTAATCTATGTAAGCAACAACGAAGATCCATGACTGTAATTGTGCTGAGCCATGATTCTGAATCTACAGTGCTATATGAAATGGTGACATAAATAAAAATGTCTAAGAAAGTTATTAGCCAGAAAAATTAAAGTCTTCGATACATTAAAGAGTATTCTATTTCAATAAATAAGAAAAAGTAACTTGTGAAACAAGAGTACTTTACCTTGGCAAAAACTGTTCAAAAAGTAAGCAATCACTCACTAATGGTCTAAAAGATTATCTTTCTCGTTAATATTTTACTGTGTCAAACGAAATTCTATGTTAGGTAGTATTCAAGAAAATGAAAACTCTAAAAATCTTGAGCTGTATATTCCTCGTGTATGACATAGATAGTACAGTGTTTGCATTTTAGTCATGATAGTATACGGTGAGGTTTAACTTTCTTTCCTCTCTCTAATATTTCTACATTTCCCAAATGTTCTTTAACATGCATATGTTATACTTTCCTAGTGGGTTTTTTAAAAATTACAAATGATAAAATTTAGTTTAATCAAATCACATTAGCTAAGTATTAAGCTGCCACCAACTAATACTTAGTTCAGATACTTACTTTAGCTAAAAACCATTTATAAAAATTTCAGAGTGAAGATCAAGTACCTTTCCTTGAGACAACTCTTAAGGTTTCAGGCAAAGCAAATGTAAAATAAGCTATGAAGTATATAGGTATTTAATATTCCAGAGTTCTCCTAAAAAAGTGACAAATGCAGAGACTCTTGTAAAATGTCAACATTCTCTTTTTCCAGAAATTGCTCACAATTGAATCAAAGTCAGAATCATCCACAGAAAGTTTCCAGAATGCCTGTGGGTGAAAGCACTAAAGAGGAGGCAGTGGGGATGGTCTTCTGGCTAAGGAATCCTGTAGGCACTCACCTGCGAGCTGACAGATCCGAAAGGCAGCACCTTTTAATTACAGCCCCAAACTTAGCAGACTGTCAGGAAGACTGGCCTGACTTTGGGAAAGGTTAACACTGAATACCTACCATAACCTATGATCATTTCTGATTAACTTAAAACACTTGAAAAAAGTGTGCTCCTACTAAGGTCAACCTGTCAGAAAAATAAAGGTATATAACACAGATAGAGATTAGCACTTTCTTGAGAAATTATGTTGAGTCTGCTGAAATAAATGGGCTAAGATAGTCCTGAATACAGTACTTTTGGTTTTATATGTATGGGTAGTTCTCAGAGAAATCTTAGTCACTAAAGGCTTTGATGACAGCCACATGAACATGTGCTCTTAGAATGTGACCTGCTGAAACCAGTTATCCAAGACAGAACAATTTTTAAAGAAACTGCGCTCTGGTCAGTTTATAATAACAATTAAGTACTTACTAATCCAAATGATCATTATCTAATATTAAGAATTCAATGAGAAGACACATGTTGAAGTCATCTTAGAAGTACTTATTAGGGTACAAAAACCACAGAAGTAGCATTATCACAAGCGTTGCCAAAAAACAAACAAAAAACTTGGAGGGGGAAAAAACAAAATATTAACAAAGGTCTTATAATTCTTTTTCTTTTTCTATATCCCAATTTCTGTATAGCAGACCTTTAATACACACAAGGATCTATAGTGAGACCACCTGGAATCTTTCAATCATCAAATATCTCATTAAAATGTCAGAAGTGCCTGACCCACTTCCTCATCACAAATGCTTAACAGTAACTACCATATTGTTTCAAATATTAGGTAGGAAGGAGGAAAAGGGAGACAACTTTATTTTACAAAAAAGCCTGGTAATCAAAAATCCTTACACAGATCAATTTTCCTACTAGGTCACTCAAAAAAAAAAAAAGGAGCACATTTAAGAGTTGAATTTAATGTCAGTATAAACCAGAGAAAAATTACCTTTCCTGCTCCATTTGTCAATGCCACTACTGATGACAGGATGCAATCATTAGTTGTTATGAGCTTCTGTGTTGCTGTTGGAAGTTCATGCTCTATTGTAGCCTTTTGACTATAATGTTTGGAAATATCTATAAACCCAATCAAATGAAAACTCATTACTATCTATATACAAGTTGTATACAGATAACCAGCCCGTTAACTTCTTATATCTACTCTTACAAATTTACAAGACAAATCTGACAAAAAATGGTCCCAAATATGAGGATTGTGCTGAATATCAATTAGGTCTCAAGTTCACATGGAAAGAAGAGAGAGTAGTGAGGGTCTCTTAACACCATCCTGGTGTCTCTATTACGTTCCCCAGCAGGTGGGTCTCATTCTCCTTCATTTGAGTGTTAAGCCCTTATTCTAGCACCAGGTAAAGGACCCTGAGCAATATTTACCAGTCAAAAACCTTGTTTTCATAGCCCAGCAGGCATAAATGAGAGTTTACATTGTGCTTATACAAACAAACCATGAGGCTGGAAAAGAACAGCCAACACAGGCACAATGTCCCACAATCCTTATTGGATCTTAGCTGGTTTGCCAGTACATACTTCAACAATAAGAAAGGTCTGCATGGCCAAATAAGGATTGGATACTCTAGCACCTGGCTTCACGTTCTATTGCCTCTAGTACAAGAAAGCTATAACAAAGGCCTGTGGTTATGGAAGCACAGAAGAGAGGCTTAGATATAAATGTGTTGACAGAAACAGCAGTAGGTGAAACTGGCCAAACAGCTAAGCCTGGGGTTTTCTGGGTCTCTGAGAAATAAAGTAATTTCATCCTGGAAATAAGGGAAAATGGAAGAATTACCAAGACAACATTGATTTACAAGGAAGGGCAATTGTATTTTTAAATAAAAAGGTGTTTATGATACAGCCTCCTTTGAATATTTTACAGTACTTCAGTTACAACAGCATTAATTATCATTACCAACAAAGCAAAAAATAAATCACAAAACATGGAAACTAACTTTTATAGCAGGTGTGCATACAAAGAATTTCATTTATTCAGAATCAAGAAATTTAGTTGATTTTAGACTATAGATAATTAAAAGGGAATAAGACTATTCAAAAAGAAAGGGTATCTGAGATTTAACCTAGTATGATAATGATTTTTAACAAAATTACTGTTTTATGAATAAGATTACTTTTACTGAAATTTAAAACTAGGAAATTGCATTACTTATATATATTGTGTTATATACACATATATATAAACTTTTAATTTAAGATAGTCTTAGATTTATAGAAAAATTACAGAGAGTTTCTGGATACCCTTAGCCAGTTTTCACTATTGTTAACACCCTACACTACTATGGTAGTTGTCACAGTGAAGGAACCAACTAATTGGTAATTACTATTATGTTTAATATTTCTTAAAAATAAATGATTATCCTCTATATATTCATAAGATATCCAAGTGAATGAAAATTCAATTGGAACACTGAACATTTTTTTGTATACCGAACTTGCTAGCCCCTAGAGTAGACATTTTCTTTCTATACACCACAGAAAGTTTTATTCAATATTTTACTGTCTGTATACAATGCTATAATACAACTGGGTTGGTAGGCAATCTTGGTTGATTGGTGTAGGTGATTGAAATACTTATAAAAGATGTACAATACTAAGAATCCTCCCATGGCATCTAGTGGATCAGAGCTACTGTAGTTTGACTATAATAATTCTCCCAATCCAACTGTTTACTCTTTATCGAGTCCAAATATTTTCATTACTTAGGGTGTTCCTCGACATTAAAGTTTAACTCCAAAAGGTACAAGGAAATCATGTGACCTAGACAACAGATTTATTTTCTTTTATGTTTCCTATGAGTCTACCTGCTTTAGACTTGAGACCAAAGATCAAACAATTCTCACTTAGAATGCCACTTGTTAAAAGATTAATTCACTTCCATTTTAATTCCTTGTAGGATACACATTTTTATAAATCTTTCTTTTTATACTAAGACCAGCCTGCCTTCTTTTTTTTTTTTATAACTTTATTTATTTGTTTATTTAATTTATTTTTGGCTGCGTTGGGCCTTCGTTGCTGCACGTGGGCTTTTTCTAGTTGCGGCGAGCGGGGGCTACTCTTCATTGCAGTGCGCGGGCTTCTCCTTGCGGTGGCTTCTCTTGTTGCAGAGCACAGGCGCTAGGGCGCACGGGCTTCAGTAGTTGTGGCTCACGGGCTCTAGAGCACAAGCTCAGTAGTTGTGGCACACAGGCTTAGTTGCTCCACGGCATGTGGGATCTTCCCAGACCAGGGCTCGAACCTGTGTCTCCTGCATTGGCAGGCGGATTCTTAACCACTGTGCCACCAGGGAAACCCCAGCCTGCCTTCTTGATTGCCTTCCTTCCTTCCTTCTTTCCAACTTGGACCAAGCAATTAAGGGCGAAGCATCAAGGGAAAAGATTTGAAATAAAAGTTCTCTTAAAAACAAAGTATATTCTGGTAATGCAAGTTAATGCTCACTCTGAGTTTTCATGAGAGATACACAACAGTCTTCCAACTGCGTAAGAAGACAGATTTGAACTGTAAAACTAGCCACAAGAGGCCATAATCTGCTTGCCAACCATCCTTCATGTTTCCCAGTCTTCTCTCTTTATATTATGTTCACTTTCAAGGACAGAAACAAGCAGAGGCACAAAGGGGGCTAAGGGAGCCTCTGATCCTCCTCTGATAATCTCCACCAACTCATAGCAAATAATAATAGTAACATTCTTTGATTTGGACCACTTGGCATCTTATGTCATATATGAACAAAAGCATTCTAAAAAAACTCAGAAGTACATTATTATTTATAGAAATATAAATAAAATCAAGATTTTTTGAAATGTAAATGAAGCTTTAAGATCCTCAATGGACAGCTACCCTCCATTGCTCTAGCCTCTCTTTTATCAAAATTCTAGAGAAAACACTAGCAGGAACAAATAGTAACATTAGCATAGGAAAACTTAGGAAACAAAACCAAAAAACGTGTAGCCACAGAGCTACTTGTGGTTTCAATGGCCTAGTTCTACGTTACGTAAAGTTCTGGAATAGAGGACTATGGTTAAGTCTGAGCTCCCCAAACCAAAAGCTGCACAGGAAAAAGGTACCAGTCCCTTGGGTTTTCTATGGACCAGACTAGGTTCTGCAGGGTTGGGCTGCCTCTTGTCACCTGCCACCAAGACTGTCTATGCAAGCTGTGATTCCTGCAACCAGTGTTAGCTCCAGAAGTACAGTGACTTTTAAAGTTCCTTATAATTGAAGACAAGCCACAGGAAGGACCATTTTCCAGACTGAATGGTAAGGTAGTACTGGGTTCCAGACTGAATGGTAAGGTAGTACTGGGTAATTCCACTAAAACTAAGAATGATTCCCAGTAACAGAGGTTATTATGTGGTTATGTGCCAACCTATAGAAAGGCCCCAAATATAGCCATCTTATACATGCCATCCAACAAAGTTTTAAGTTTTTAAAAAGTATTTTCTGTGAAACCAGCAATTGGTCACTAACTGCACACTAAACACCTCAGTGAAAAATCTAGGCACCTGGACTATTTCCAATAGTCCTTAATAATTGCTCCTGCCCTCCTCTCCTCCCCCTACTCCAACAGTCTTCAAACGGAAAAGAACCGAGGAAAAAAACCTAGAAGCCATGCAGAAATATAGATTACAAAATCAGGACTCAGAATCACATGTTAGGAAGCAAATGAAATGACCGTCGACAAGCATATTCTTAGAAGCACATAGCAACTAAAAACTGACCAAAGCTTGAAGACAGACCTTCATTCCTTAAGGCTCTCCTGAACAAAACAGGACTTATAATGGGTACTCTAAACACAGAAACACACAGGAGGCTACGTAGAAAACCAGTGCATTCTTTCTGGGATCTTTAAACCTTCATTTCCTCAGTTCCTTCATGTTTGGGCTCTAACAAGTGCAGTATTTTGCTAAATGCCTCTGAATAGCATGTCTGGCTTGATAAAATTCATACACCTGCCTTAAGTCAGTGTAATGTATTTTTGGCTAAAGTTCCGGGCACAAGGGTTTCTCTTCAGCACTTTGTTTACCTTCAGGAAAGAAGCAGATGGGAAAAGCAGAAGGCAGTAAGCTGTGCACTTCAACGTTAAGCCAAATGCTACTAAACCTTTATGTGGGGTCTATTAGCCTTGACAGTATTTGTTTAAATCTCACTCAGGCAGATCTGAGAAAATGGGACAAAGCTTATTTATGTTCTTTTCCAAGCCTCACCTTTCATGACATCATGAAATCCATGCAGAGCAGCACCAACATTTGTTAAGACAGAACTGTAGTTTGTCCGAAGGAGTCCATCTGGCTCCGTACCTAGGAAACCAAGATCACAAGCCTAAGCATTTTCCCAGAAGAATTCACCTGAAAAACTGACAGCCCACCATCTCCCCTCTACTTTTGGGAAGAGAGAGAGTGAATACTGATTGTGATATGTTGAAAATAATGGCTCTTAAAATCATTGTAGACACATTCAGATAGAATGGTGATAATTACAGGGATCTTAACTGATTTGCATCCCCCATGTCCACAGATATTAATGGTTACAAGAATCAAAATTAAATTGCTAAGCAGGATTATGTCTTTCATGATTCTTTTTGAAATGAAAGCCTTTGTGAATTTCACCTTGTTACTACAGAACACATTTCTCATTTTGTGCTTTTCCTACATATTATTGTTTGCTGAACATCACTAAAAACACTATTATTCAAACATCACAGTTCCAATTCTGGCATGACAGCATAAGCAAGCTCCACATACCCACTCACCAGCACAACTGGTGAAAATGATTTAAAAATAACCACTTTAAACTCTGGAAATTATCCTAAGGGCATACAGCAAGTAAAGAAACATTTAATCAAGAAAATCTGTATTAACTCAGTAACAAAAGCAAGAATCTGTGGTATGTGAACCAAAACCCACTCGGTCCCCTCACCAGTCAGTGAGCTAGAAATCCCAGTCCCGAGGGTGCAGCCAAGAGCACAAGGCTCCCTCTCCCCTAGCTCAGCTGGAGGGCTGCATTGCTTATCTCGCTCTCAGCTACCTGTTGCTGAGGCTAAGTTCTAGGTAAATATGACTCAGAGGTGGGGGGTTCTCTTCTTTTACCCAGCCCTGACTTGTGGGATGGAGGCTCTACGTGGCATGGCGCTGCTGAGAATCTGTGGCCCTGATCATCCTGGCCCCAGCTCATTAACAGGAGTTCCATGCTGAAAGAAGCAAGCTGAGGAGCCCAGCGGCTGCTGCCCTACCTCTCCATGGAGTAATGCAGGGGTGTCACTCTGAGAGAAGTGCATCACTGTCATCATCCCCTGCACAGAACCATGGCTCAGAGATTTAGCCCAAGGGAGAAACAGTTCTTAAAACAGAAAGCTCTGAATCTCTTCCCAAAGGAATTGACTTAATTCACAACAGACTGTGGAGAAGTTCAAGCCTAGGGATGCTCTCAAAAATAATGGCACTTGTGCTGAAGGTAATTCGGAGGATTCATTGGAGATATAAGGTAGACTGACACCTAGACACACAATAGAACAGTTAGACTTAATTGATATCTACAGGACACTACATTAAAAAAAAAAAAAATAGAATACACATTCTTTTTCCAAGGGCACATGGGACATTCTCTAGAATAGACCACAAACTAAGACCCAAAACAAGCCTCAACAAACTTAAAAGGACAAAAATTATTTCAAGCACCTTTTCTGACCACAAGGGCATGAAACAAGAAATCAACCACAGAAAGATAAACGAGAAAAAAATGGTTATATGGTGACTAAACAACATGCTACTAAAAAGCAAATAGGTCAACAATGAAGTCAAAGAGGAAATTAAAAAATACCTTGAGACAAACGACAATGAAAACACAACCATACAAAACCTATGGGATGCAGCAAAAGCAATCCTAAGAGGGAAGTTCATAGTGATACAGGCCTACCTCAAATAAACCTAAACTACCACCTGAAACAATCAGAAAAAGAACAAACAAAATCTAAAGTCAGCAGAAGGAAGGAAATAATAAAGATCAGAGAGTAAATAAATAAAATAGAGATTTTAAAAACAACAGAAAAAAATCAATAAAACCAAGAGCTGTTTTTTTGAAAGGATAAACAAAATCAACAAACCACTGACCAGGCTCACCAAGAAGAAAATAGAGAGGGCCCAAATAAACAAAATAAGAAATGAAAGAGGAGAAATAACAACCAATACTGCAGAAATATAAAAAATCTTAAGAAATTATTATGAACAGTTATATGCCCAAAAAAAATTAACAACCTAGAAGAAATGGACAAGTTTCTAGAAACATACAGACTGCCAAAAAGGAATCAAGAAGGAACAGATAATCTGAACAGACTGATCACTAGAAGTAAAATAGAATCTGTAATTAAAAAAAAAAACCTCCCTGCAAACAAAAGTCCTGGACCCGATAGCTTCATTGGGGAATTCTACCAAACGTACAAAGAAAAACTTACACCTATCCTTCTCAAACTCTTCCAAAAGACTGAAGAGGAAAGAACACTCTCAAAGTAATTCTATGAAGCCACTATCACACTGATACCAAAACCAGAAAAAGACACTACCAAAAAAGAAAATTACAGGCCAATATCTGATGAATATAGAAGCAAAGATTGTCAAAAAAGTTTAGCAAACCAAATCCAAGAACACATAAATAGGATCATACACCATAATCAAGCTGGATTCATTCCAGGGTCACAAGGATGGTTCAACATATGCACATCAATCAATGCGATACACCACATGAACAAAAGAAAAGACAAGAAACACATGATCATATCAACAGATGCAGAAAACGCATTTGACAAAATTCAACATCCATTCATGATAAAAACTCCCACCAAAGTGTGTATAGAGGTAACAAATTTCAACATAATAAAAGTCATTTATGACAAACCCATAGCCAACATAATATTAAGTGATGAAAAGCTGAATTCTGGAACAAGGCAAGGATGCCCACTTTCATCACTTCTATTCAACATAGTATTGCAAGTCCTAGCCACAGCAATCAGACAAAAAAAAGAAGCAAAAATATCCAAATTGGAAGGGAAGAGGTAAAATTGTCATTATGTGCAGATGACATAATAATCTATATAGAAAACCCTAAAGACTCCACACAAAACTACTAGAACTCATAAATGAATTCAGTAAGGTAGCAGGATATAAGATTAATATAGAGAAATCTGTTACATTTCTTTACACTAACAATGAAACACCAGAAAGAGAAAGTAAAAAACAATTTTGTTTAAAATCATATCAAAAAAAAAAAAACCTAGGAATAAGCCTAATCAAGGTGGTGAAAGACTTATACGCTGAGAACTATTAAACACTGATAAAGGAAATCAAAGATGATTCAAGAAAACGGAAAGTTACCTCATGCTCTTGGACTGGAAGAAATAATATTGTTAAAATGCCCATACTAGCCAAAGGAATCTACAGATTTAATGCAATCCCTATCAAATTACCCATGACACTTTTCACAAAACTAGAATAATTCTAAAGTTTATATGGAACCACAAAATATCCAGAATTGCCAAAGCAATCCCGAGGAAAAAGAACAAAGCTAGAGGCATAACCCTTCCAGACTTCAGATAATAATACAAAGCTACCATAATCAAAACAGCATGGTACTGCACAAAAACAGACATATGAATCAATGGAACAGAATAGAGAGCCCAGAAATAAACCCACACACCTACAGCGCATTAATCTTCAACAAAGGAGGCAATAATATACAAAGGGGAAAAGACAGTCTTTTCAGAAAGTGGTATGGGAAAGCTGGACAGCCACATATAAATCAATGAAGTTAGAACACTGCCTTACACCACACACAAAAATAAACTCAAAATGGCTTAAAGACTTAAATATAAGACATGACACCATAAAACTCCTAAAGAAGAACACAGGCAAAACACTCTTTGACATAGATTGTAGCAATATTTTCTTAGATCAGTCTCCCAAGGCAAAAGAAATAAAAGCAAAAATAAACAAATGGGACCTAATCAAATTTATAAGCTTTTGAACAGGAAAGGAAACCATAAACAAAATGAAGACAACCTACAGACTGGGAGAAAATATTTGCAAATGATGCAACCAACAAGGGCTTAATTTCCAAAATATACAAACTGCTCCTACAGCTCAATATCAAAAACACAAACAACCCAATCAGAAAAATGGGTAAAGGGAATTCCCTGGCAGCCCAGTGGTTAGGACTCTGTGCTTTCACTGCCTAGGGTGCGGATTCAACCCACTGATGGGGGAACTAAGATCCCGCAAATCGCATGGCACGGCCAAAAAAAAATGGGTAGAAGACCAAAACAGACATTTCTCCAAAGAAGACACACAGATGGCCAACATGCACATGAAAAGATGCTAGAGAAATGAAAATCAAACCTACAATGAGCTATCATCTCACACTGGTCATAATGGTCATCATCAAAAAGCCTACAAATAGGGCTTCCCTGGTGGTGCAGTGGTTGAGAGTCCGCCTGCCGATGCAGGGGACACGGGTTCGTGCCCTGGTCCGGGAAGACCCCACATGCCACAGAGCGGCTGGGCCTGTGAGCCATGGCCGCTGAGCCTGTGCGTCCAGAGCCTGTGCTCCGCAACGGGAGAGGCCACAGCAGTGAGAGGCCCGCGTACCGCAAAAAAAAAAAAAAAAAAAAAAAAACTTGTTCACAAATGTCTATAGCATCATTATTCACAATAGCCAAAAGGTGGAAACAACCCAGATGTCCATCAACTGATAGGTAGATAAATAAAATGTGATATATCCATCCAATGGAATATTATTCTGCAATAAAAAGGAATGAAATACCTATACATGCTACAACTTGGATGAATCTTGAAAATATTATGCCAAGTGAAAGAAAGCAGTCACAAAGGACCACAGATTACATGATTCCATTTATATGAAATGTTCAGAACAGGCAATTCTATAGACAGAAAGTAGATTAATGGTTGCTTGGTACTGGGCGGGGACAGAACAGGGGATGATAGCTAAAACAGAGGGTGATAGCTAAAGTATACAGGGTTTCTTCTTCTTCTTCTTTTTTTTTTTTTTTTTTTTTTGCGGTGCGTGGGCCTCTCACTGTTGTGGCCCCTCCGTTGCGGAGCACAGGCTCCGGACGCACAGGCTCAGCGGCCATGGCTCACGGGCCCAGCCGCTCCGCGGCATGTGGGATCCTCCCGGACCAGGGCACGAACCCGCGTCCCCTGCATCGGCAGGCGGACTCTCAACCACTGCACCACCAGGGAAGCCCGACAGGGTTTCTTCTTAAGGTGATGAAAATATTCTAAAACTGACTGTAGTGTTGATGCACATGTCTGTGACTGTAGTAAAAACTACTGAACAGTACACTTTAAATGGGTAAATTGTATGATATGTAAATTATATCACATTTAAGCTGTTACAAAAAACAAATAATCAAATCACTACTATAAAAATCATGGTTTTCTTACAAACATCATTTAAACTGAGGTCCATTCAATGGCCTGAAAATACTTTTTTCAAATTAAAACAGCATTTTCTTCCCCAAGACTTTCAACCTTTACATTTTGGGACTTTGTTATGATACAGTTCCTCTAAAAATAGCATTTTTACTATTAATCTTCCCTTCCCCTATGCTACTTGTTGGAAAGTTGCTACGAATTCTTACGCTTTGCCCCTCTCCATTTAAAAAAGAGGAAGGAGAGAAAGAGATTTAATTTTTTTTTTTTTTTTCGGTACGCGGGCCTCTCACTGCTGTGGCCTCTCCCATTGCGGAGCACAGGCTCCGGACGCGCAGGCTCAGCGGCCATGGCTCACGGGCCCAGCCGCTCCGTGGCATGTGGGGTCTTCCCGGACATGAAGCCGTGTCCCCTGCATCGGCAGGCGGACTCTCAACCACTGCGCCACCAGGGAAGCCCAAGAGATTTAATATTTAATGTATGTCTTCGATGCCTGATATTGTACATTCTTAATTTAACTTAATCACATTTACCTCCGTTTTATAAGTGGGAAAAGAGAAGCAGAGAAGTGATTTGCCCAAGACCCTAAATGTATAAGGAGCTGGAGGATTTGAATTCAAGATTTTCTGAACCTCTTCTCACTTCAACACGCCAAAGCACCTCCCTTCTCAAGCTTCTTGTACTCTAATTTCTTCAAGTTGAACCATGAGTAACAAACATGCTTACTTGGCAAGGCGAGAAGACCAATGTAAGTCTGCAGCTTCTCAAACACAGCTGTCATCTTTTTCATGTCCTGGGACAGCTCTAGATTCCTGGCTCGTAATGCAGACGTGCAAAGGGAAGCTTCACATTCTTCTTCTAAACTAAGAATGGGCAGATTTTATAAAAGTGAGCATCCTGAACGATTTTCAACTAGCTATAAGAAATCATCTAAATTCTCAAACATCTATATCCAAAGAGAGAATTTACCAAAAAAGGAATTTGATCTCATTTACAAGGTTCCATTTTTTATACCATAATACATACACCTGCTTGCTGCAAACGCCAATGCAGCAAAAGACAACTAAATGGAAGAAAAAATAAAGGGAGGTGCCCATTAGCTTTCCATCCGGAGAGCAGCAAAAACATGTTTCCCTTCAAAATATTTTCAGGAGAAAAATATTTCATAGACTGAATTCCTAAAGAGAATTAATTACACAGGAACTAAGAAAGAAAATCATTGAGAAACCTTTTTCAGTGTATGTAGGTTCAAAAGTCAAACAGATTGGAAAAAACAATCTATAGGCTCAATACAAAAATAAATGCTTAACATTCATAAAATACATTTTACCATTTTCAATTTTAAATGGTGCTTTGGAAAACTTAATTATAAGGTTAAAAAAACTACATTGACTCTTAAGAGTGTTTATTTAAAATGTGCAGTAATTAAGTAAAATGCTTTTTACACAAAGCTACGAAAGTAATTAGCACAGAATGATAATCATATCCATTCCCTTGACCTTGCCTCTTCTATTTATTTATAGCAAACAGCTTCATTCGGTACTAAGCCCATTTACTACTAATGAACATGTCATCTTGTCAACTAAAGTGGTATTTAAACCAATGACCAAAAAATTGCCTAAAAACATAAATACCTGATAACATAGGGCTGAAGGCATATGGAACAGAACATTCCAAGAATAGGAATCTTAAATCAAGAAAGGACTTATCCAGTGTTTCTAAAAATGTAATAGTGAAAAAATAAATTAAGATAAAATAACAATGCTTAACTGTTTCAAGTAGTAAATACCACTTTTGCAATGGTTCTTTTTTTTTTTTTAATAGGAGAAAAAAAAATTTAATTACATATGTAGGGGAGTCCACAAAGACATTGAGACTCAAGGGCAAGTGGGGCAACTGAGGCTTATATATGCCATCCTGAGGTAAGGAATGGGATAGGAGCCTGGAGAAGGGGAAGTCACAGGATGATAAGAAGAGCAGATGTTTGGCAATTAGAAGTTTTGCAATGGTTCTTAGAGTCTTTTCAACGTAAGCCAAATCAATAAAGTGTATTCAATTTAGTGTTAAACTTCCAGAGTCAATTTTCAAAAAAACTTTAATTATACTGAACTAAAACATTTAAGGATCTGAATGAAACTGTTTGTTTGTTTCAATAGTTTACTTGTTTCAAAATGTTCATTTGTTTCATTAGTTTGTCATAATTCCCTGATTCCTAAAATTCTGTCATGTGCACAAATCATAGAATTCAGTTACTGAAATGCCTTTGTTAGGTTAGAATTAGGAAATAAGATGGAAATAAGATGGCTCTTAACACATTAATTTTTAATAATAAAATTTCATATTATTGAAGAGCTAAAACCTACTACTTTAGTTTTACAAGGACTTAAAAACTATAATTACTTGTATATTTTCAACATCTGTAAGTTATTCATCTACGTATTTCCTAAACCTTATTTTGCAATATACTATACTACATATATGCTCTAATTTCTCCTATGTATTATTATTATTATTGTATTATTCTTTGATTACTTTTTTTAAAGACTAAATCTTAGGATGAAAAGATTTAGATGAATTAGGACTCTTGGTAGTTTTAGACCAAAAGTATCAAAATGTACAAGGAGTATTCTCAAATTTCCAATTACATAAATTATTTTCTCTTGCCTTTCTAGAAATGTTTAAGATGGAGCATTTAAGGCTACTTAATGACATATCCTATGAGGGCTGAAGTATGTACACAAAGTTTTTACTTTATAACTTAAATAAATCACCAATAATAAAAACAATATACTATTTCAAAGAAACCTAAGGATTATAAATTGTAATGTAGAGGTTAACTATTATAACCCCCACCTAGATGTTTATAGTAAAAGGATAAAAAATACCCCAAAATGAAATATTTCCTTCAATAAATGTGTCATTCACAATCATTAAAAATACTGGTTCATATTGCATTATGTGGTTATAGTAGTAATCTCAGTACAGAATACTGAAAAAACCTTAGCTGACAAACTACAATTCAATTTTCTTAAATATAAGTTTGTGCTGCTCAAACCATGACTTTCCTTTTTCACAAAAGTCCAAATTGGTTGTGGTGCAGAAAGGTCAGGCAGATCACAAGAAGCACATGTTATTACTTTAGTAACTCCAGCACAGCTCAGATGATACCTCGCAATTCCCCAAGTTCCCTGGCCCAGAGGGTAAGTACCTTTTTAACTGATAAGGAAGAATCTTCCTAAGAAAACATATGTAAGAGGTTAAATGCTCTGAAAAAGTTTTCAATTTCACAGTTGTCTCCTGGAAAAGAAAAAATTTCAAGGTTAACAGAGTCATTTGAAAAAGAAGAGCTCCCATTTCCAGAAGTAAAACATAGAAGAAAATTACCAGGACAGTCACAGTATCCTCAGTAATACTTTCAAATAAATGAAGCATTCCTTCCTCAAGAGGGCGGACATAGGATGCATTTTCATGAAGATACTGTGAGAACTAAATAGAAGGGAAAGAATTGTGAGTTAAATCACTGGAAAATAAAGAATAGCAAAACATTTGTAAATGGACTCGCTGAGTTTTAAACCTAAATTCTTTTGCAAACTTTTTTTGGGAAATCAGGCTTTTACACAGAGCTCCCCTCTAAAATCCTAGATATTATTCCCAAGTCCCCATTCCATTGCAAAATGAGGAACTAGAAGAGGGATGACATAATTAATGACCAGGCATGAAGCAAATGGGGAGGGGATACTATTTACAACACAGTACCAACAGGCCTTCTTCTCTAAACAACTGCTTCTTCATAGGGGTCCCAGTTAAAAAAAAAAAAAGGTTTGATAATCAAAACTGTATGACAGATTTTTGTGTTATATAACTCATTTAATTTAACTCATTTTTTAGAAGCAAAGGACTTTTAAGTACAGTTTCTTATTTTCACTGTATACAATGTTCAAGGTTAACAAATTCCATGAATGTAATTATCATCAAAATGAGAATATAAAAACTTTTATAACTGTCATGGATACTGTAATATTTACAAAGGACTAATTCAGTATGAAGAATAGATTCAGAAAAAGATTCCCCAGGCATTTAGACAATTGAGAAGCAAGAAGTTAATTTTTCACTTGTGAAATATCTCAGTTTTCTAAATACTGTATAATGGCTCAAATTTCTTTTTCTCAGTATAGAAATGTAAGGTCTCATTTTGCAGATAGGTGATTCAATTGGCCCTACTGCAAACTACACAGATATATGGCCCTGGGAAATTCAGTCTCTCTGGGCTTCGATCTTTAGAGCTGTAAATAAGTTGAACTCTAAGCTCAGGTATAAACGTTTACTTTATGATTCTATGAACAAGTCTAAACGCTTTGGTCATCTTTTAACAAATGGTTTCTGAATCTTCAGTAATACAGACTTAATAGAAAATCACATAGGGCCTTTCAGAGGCCAAAGCACCAAGGGTAAAATATTGAGAAAAATAGGAATTCTGCAAAGTAATGAAATGTTTCTATTAAGATTAACATATTTGATTCTCGCTGTGTGGGCATAATATGGCAACAAGCTAAAATAAAGTAATGGCAGGAATTCCCTAGTGGTCCAGTAGTTAAGACTCAGCGCTTTCACTGCTGGGGTCCGGGTTCAATCCCTAGTTGAGGAACTAAGATCCCGCAAGCCAGACGGTGTGGCCAAAAAACCCCCAAAACCAACCAACCAAATAAATAAATAAATAAAATAAAAAGTAAATAAAATAAAATAATGGACGAAGAATCAGTGGAAAAAAATGTTTTTATATTATAGGAAGTATAAAAGAAAATATAACTACATTAAAATGCTGCAGTTCCATTTTCCTTACTGAGGTCATCTGAAAGCTTTTTCCCACGGTGATATTAAAGAGCATTTCAAAGGCCCAAAGTTTAATTTTTATGAACTTCAAAAGATTTGTGGAGTCAGATGAAAATTGATGAAAAGCAAGCATCTGCTGAGGGCTTCCTATGAGTACGGCAGCATGACGACAATGGTAAGAGCTAGCCTTTACTGAGTACTTACTGTGTGCCAAGCACTGTTCTTAGCACTGTACATGTATTATCTCATTAAATCCTCAAACATACATACCTGTGGGGTAGGTACTTTATCCTCCATTTTCAAGATGCACAGAGAGGTTAAATAAACTGACCAAGGGGACATAGAAAGTGGCAGAACTGGGCTACCACCCCAGAAGTATGACTCCAGAATCTAAGCCTTTGCTATACTAACAGGATCTGTGGACATAAATACTATTCAAACCCTGGAAATACTGCATGATGCACACACAGACACCAACAAAAAGCTGATGAGAAGAATCAGGTAAGCAGAGAGTGGCATGACTCACTTCAGACACCACAGTATGGGGCACTTAGAGTTCATCTATCACAAGCCCCCTAATTTCCTCCCTTCAAGATGGCCCCAATAATCCCCACCTCCTGCTATTCTTGGCTCTGAGTAACACCCACCCTCACACACTGTGTCAGGGCCAGTCTGTGTTACCAGTACAATATGGCAAAAGTGGTGGTATGTGACTACGTGCATACTCCCTATGGTTTCCTACTCCATGGTTTTGCTCATGTCTTTCCCTCTCCTGCGGTGAAAAAATACCCACCCCGCTTCACTCCTCCCATGCAAATCATGCTCATTTTTCAAAGTCCAGTTAAATCACCAAAGAACCTTTCCAGACACTACCACCGACAGCAATCTCCCCTCCTTGATAACCTCGTATCACTTACTGCCCATACCACTCACTCACACTAAGGTCTTTAACAACTCCCTTGCTATTTCATTTCTTAAGAATCCCCACGTTTGCCATATTTTACCTTAAGGGTAAAGACTACGATTTGTAGCTTTTCCCATGTCCTCCACAGTACTTGGCAGAGGCACACAAGTGGTCTGATAATTAGTAACAAGTCTCCACGTTTGTTCAGGGCAAACAAAAGGTATCCTGAGTTAAATGTACCTTCTGATTCAATGGAGATATAGTGTCAATGGCAGAATCAACAGGAAAAATCTGAATCCTCTGTTCTGTATAGGTGTGAAAGTTCAGAAGACCCTTGACGAGATCTTGAACGAAAGCCAGGGCCTGCCCAGCGATATCCCGCATCTTCAGCTTTAAAACGAAAAGGATACAGTTAAAGTCAACTATCAAGTTATTACTCCCAAACAACTTTAAGAAGTCTGCTTTTGGAGAAACATTTGAATTCTAGTATAATTATTCCTTAATTTAAATTCATTTGCTCCCACTTAGATTTTAATACTACCGTCTAAGTAAATTACAATAGAAAGCCGCCAGCTTTGGTAAATATACCTCTCCACTTAACCTAGACTGTTTAAGTGCAAAACCTAAAAGAAAGGTATGACTCAAAAATCAGTGCATCCCACAATTCAGTTCTAATGTTATCGGACAAGAGATGGCAAAAATCTATATTATTTACAAATTCAGAAAACAGCGAGTTTCACAATTTTTAAGAATGTATGAGGAAAGAAAGTAAAAGTGAAACGCAATGGTTTGGTGCACTAAACAGAGGCCCAAACAACTAACTGGTGTTTCTGAAAAGTTTGACACACACATCACTGAAAATAAAAACTTCATCTTTACCTGATGTCTCCTATTGTGGACTGGAACGTTCAGAGCATTATACTGACTATATTCTACAAAACAAAAACGGCTGTTCATTAAGTCATTTTACATTTACGAAAAAAGAGCTTAACTGAGAAATAATAAATGCTCACCCCGTTTCCCAGCTTCTCTCCCCCTCAGCCCCTTCCCTTCCTGATCACTGCAGTGCACTCTGCACAGGCCTCTTTGTACTATGCGCCCCTCATTCCCACCACTCCCAACACGGGGGCTCATCCATCCCAGTTGGGTCAATCAGCTGGTGCATCAGTTTCTCTCCCCAGATCTAGGCTTTTATTCACAAATGTACACATCAGTAGGGAAAGAGATGCACACCAATCTGTTAGAATATTAAGCCACAACAAAGTTACCGTCAACATCTTTCCCAGAAACCTGCTCCCCGTCTGCCTCTTTGATTTCTGTCAGCTGCACCACATCATTCCACCACACTGCCTCCTGTTGCTCCCTTGCCTCCCTGCATCTCCCTGACAACTCAGCCTCCAGCCCCCATCACAGCACACCAGGACTATCATCACAGCAGCATCAGCCCCCTTCTCCCATTCCAGGGTAGTCTGCACTCTGTTGCCAGATGAACTTTGTGAGTGCACAAATTTCACCAAGACATTTCCAAAAGCTTCTGCAACAACCTACTGACTTGCAAATTAAGTCCTCCCAAGCCCTTTGCCCAGAACTTGAGGGTCCAGCCCCACCCTCCCTTTCAGAACTTACCCATCATTGGCATCCACATCCCACCCACTCTGGCCTCCAGTCATACTTAACTAATTACTGCTGTCAGGCCCTGACAGCACCTTTATCCTACATAACCACACTCCATGCAATTCCCTGGCTCGTTCTCCCTCACCTCTCTTACCAATAAAACCTACTTTTGCATCCTGGCCCAGCCCAAAGCACACTTCTTCCAAAAGGCTTCCCCAAACCACCCCACCAGTAGTAATCATCCTTACTCTGAAACCCCAAGAGGTTCTTCATGGAATAGCTTAGCTTATATTTTAGATATTTCTCTACCTTATTTCTTCCCTACTGGACTATAAATTCCTTGAGGGTAGGTAGAGATTTTTGTCTTATACGTTTTTGCATATCCTGTGCTCCCCACCCATTTAGACTTTCAGTAAATAATCTCTAAATATTTCGGAACTAAAAGTAGTAACCTACTTGTGACATGGTAAGAACCTAAAATAGGGTGACAACTAGTACTGGAAAAGAAAGGATAAACCCAAAGAGACTCAGAAGGAAATGATTAGAACCTGATGACTAAAGAATAAGGGGAAAATGAAATGCCAAGGTTTTAAGCCTAGTGGATCAAAGTATGCTGGTGCTATTTACATTAATGTAGAAAGCAGTAACAGGTGTTGTTTTCAGATGAATTTAGGTTTTTGATATAATAATGACATATGCTGATTTCAGTGTTAGAGCAAACTACTATTTTTCTTTGGTGTCTTTTCTTCCCTCTTTTTTTAGGTCTTCCCTAAGAAAAATTGAGAAGAAGTCAAAAATTAATTTCAATGATATAATTGTAAAAAAGGAAATGTGTACTAATTTAAATTTAAGTTTCCAGATCAAAACAATTGTTTTCTTTGTCTTCAAGGTTTAGATTTAATACCTGTCTAAAGGTTACAAATTTGGCATCTGTTATATATGTAAGTTGATTTTTCTTTTTTTAACTTCTTTTTGTTGCTCTTGGCTGTGTAAATTACCAGACCATTCCCAGAATGAGCAGGAAGCAGGGCTTACCCAAGTCAACTCCCTAACTATCTCTGGGGATTGTCCAAAGGGCAGGAGATACCAGGCTAAGAAGATTCACCTCCCACCCACCCCGCTACTCCTCTCCCACCTTGCCGCCCACCATGATCAAATTTTCTTGTACAAATATTCAGGTACTTTATGTGAAGGTTGGTTTTCACCTTGGGATATGTTAAATACATGCAATTAAAAAATGTGGCTTTGGGCTTTTGCCAAGAAGCCTAGCTTCAGAATAGTTATGTGACAAATTAAAATCTCCCTATGAAACATGAAGGCCAAAGCTGATCAAAAGGACAAAAAGAAAGCAACCCTCTGTTAGGCCAAAGAGATTTTCTGCCAAATAGATTACAAATTATTTTAATTAGTTGGCTATCATAAAGAGGTTCAGAGTTGCAAATAATGGAAAACTGTACATAATACCTACTTGTATCATTAAAAGGTACTTTTTCATTGATGATTGATAAGGATTCCTCTAATCTACTTGACAAATCTTCATGAAGATTCTTTAACTGTAACTGACTGAAAGAAAAAATACAAAACCACATTATCAATAGACAGTAGGTCATGATTTGCTTGTTACCTCAACAGCTGGTACCAGGCTGTCAGAGGATGGTACCTGACATCTGGGATACCCTTGGTAGTAGAGAATTGTTAAAAAAAAAAAAAATGAAGATAAGAAAAATACTAAGCCTTGACTCTAAAGCTCCTGAGACTCCTGTTGAATGACTGGAAGTTTCAAAGAATTTATCACAGTCCCAATATCTTATACAATTTTAAGTTTATCTCCCCAAGCTCAAAATAATCTTAGAGCCATTTCAAACTCATAAATTTTCTCTTTACAACACATAAATATTTGTCCAAGTATTATGGTAAACGTTTTTAAAGTATTAAAGCGTTTTTTTTTTCCCTTGAGCTGAAAATCTGATCATTTTGGGTTTTGATTCAATTAAGACCATAGATACACCATGCATGTTCAATGCAACTAAACTGAAAAAATGCACTTGATTCATTTTATTAAAACCTAAAATATGTCATTTATCAAGTAAATGTTGGTGCATGCTCTTACTACCTAGAGATAATATTTTAAAATGTAAATATCTCCAAATTATCAATAGATTGCATAACCTCATTTTATTTAAAATTATTTAAAATTAAAAGGTTGACACCATGATCATTAGTCAGTTTTCCTGACTAATGAGAAGGCCTTCTCTTTAGAGTAGTCTGAAACAGAAAGGACCCAGTCCTCAGTACTGGAGCCCCAGAATGCCATCTGCCACAGTCCAAAACATCTGCAGGTTGAGGACTAACACACAGGTCACTCTACAAAGAATTCATAAGGTCCCACAGATAACAAAACTGAAAAGGACCGTGGAGACGATCTACTCCTGTCTCATTGCAAACGTGAGAAAATTAAGACAGAGGAGCTACTACACCAAAACTCGGGTCTTCTGATTCTCACTTCAGGGCCCCTTGGAATTCACGTTTCCACATACCATTCTTCTGTCCGAAGTCGACATTCCTTGGCCTCCTTTTCTAGAGTCTGAGATTTTACCTGAATTTTAGAAGGAAAAAAAAGCACAGGGAACTCTACTCAATATTCTGTAATAAACCTATATGGGAAAAAAATCTGAAAAAGAATGAATATATGTGTATGTGTAACTGAATCAGTTTTCTGTATACCTGAAACTAACACAACACTGTAAATCAACTACACTCCAATAAAATTTAAAAAAATAAAAAATTTTAAAAAATAAACTATGCCAAACTATATTGTTTGGCTTTCCATTTTGAAATCCTGCAGGTAGAGAAAAAATTTTTCTACCCTTTTTTTTATTTTCTGGTTTTCCCCTATAAATTTTATATAGCTATTTACTTGAAATTGTGTTCAATTTGCTAGAAATGTGGTGTGACAAATATAACTAACCAAAATTATATGCATATTGGTCTGTCAAAAAAATAAAAAGAAGAGCAGAGGGCTCAGGCCACAGATGTGAGCTCGCTGCGGAGACGCTGCAGGCAGCAGTCCTGCCTTGAATGGCTAACTTTTGTTCTATAAAGCAGGTGGATGATTTCCAAAAGCCTGGACTATTTTTTCACATGCTCTCACCAACGGCGGGTCTTACCTCTAGTTTAGCCTTGTCGTTCTGCAGCTTCTCGATGGTTTCCATGTACTTCCGGGTCAGGCCATCGACCACAGCTTGGTGCTGGGCCGCTTCCATCTCCAGAGTGGCCAGCCGACTCCTTAGCTCTGCTTCCACGTGCTTGTGCTGCTCATCGGCTTCAAAAAACTGAAAAGAAAAGATCATGGTGTCTTCTCACAACATCCCAATATATACAAATGAAGAGAAAACAACTGCAGCGACTAATCATTGAGCAACTTCCATAAGGTTCCATATGCTCACTGTGCAAAACCACGCAGGCATGAGCTCGGTGGAACCTCAGGGCAGGTCAGAGGCGGTGTACTTGTAATCCCTCCTTTACAGATGGGGAAACAGAAGCTTCAAGGGATGACCTAACTTGTCAAATGTCTCACAGTCACACACTGACTCCAAAGCCTGTACCTCCTTCCTCCCAGGCTCATGGATTTCTATTTTAAACCATTTCTGGCACACAGAAAACTCAACTGACCAGGGTATAACTTTTCTGTTAGGCTGACTTCTGCAATTAAATAATCAAAAATCAAACAGGTGTTACTCCTGAAGCAGGTAAGGCTCCTTTCCTTAATGAGAAGCCAGTAGTAATTAAGAATTATGAATACTTAACAGAAAATTCATGAAGTCAAAAGTTCATTTTGTAAACATTTTCAAAGACTGAGAATGCATATTTATTTTCCACTGTTTGACTATGCTCACCATTTCACACAAAAAATCAGGAGACATAGTTGAATACACTACCCTATGACTCTTAAAATATGCTGAATGGTTTGGAGCAGACACTGATTACTCAACATTCCACAAATATTTGAGGGCCTGCCATGAGTGAGGCCCTGTCCTGAGGCTGGGCAGACAAAACCGACATGGTCTATACACTAATGAGACCTTACAGACTAACAGGGAAACAGATAAAAACCAACTAAGCTATCATAAATTAAAAAGCAAACACTACTTATTGATAAGCCCCCATCTAAATGATCCATCCAACCACCTCCTATATAAAATGAAGAGTGCCCAGTATACTTCTTTATTGTTAACTTATGAAGTTATTCTGCTGTACTCTGAACAAGTGTATATTCAAAGCACACATCCGTATTAAAACATGAATGAGATCTAAGAAATGAATGAACGACAGTGACGTATGTACCTAAGGACCACAGGAAACATTAAAACACCCACCCATACACAAAGCACTCTATCTTGCACTGGTTTTTCCACATTGCAGATCATACAACCCATTTTTAAATTCATATGGAAAAACAGAAAGATTTTCTCACTTGTATGTGCAACCGTTCATTCTCTTCTATCTTCTTTTGCAGGTCTTCATCGAAGACACTCTTCTGCTCTTGACTCAACTGAGAAGAAGATTCTCCACTTTTCTGATGGAAAGAATAAGTTATGTCCACATAACTTTCATCCTTTAGAGAAACATCCTAAGGTACACAGATTCTCTATCACCTTAGTAGCTTGTCTCTTCTACGTGTTCACCATTCTCAAACAATCCTGCAAAAGGTATACAGTCCATCATTTAACTTTTCCTATGTGACACAAGTTGGAACTGCAAATATTGCAACGAGCAGGAAAGCTTAAAAAAAGAGAGAAAATAACAGATAAGGCTCACTATTCTTTGCAGATGAATTCAGGAGTAGTTCTTTTGGAAGACAGAGCAGACCCAGAAAGCTAGCAATACAAATATGCTAATAAATATCATTTCAATTGATCTTTTGGTTTGGGAAATGACAGTTTTACCAATTCCATGAGTCTGAGTTGTTAAAACTCCTTTAAGAAATTAACAGCATTCACAAAAACACATTTATACAGAAGTTCACATAAATTTCTAATTTAAAAAACATAAGATAAAGCTATTATAAATAAACAGAAGGAAAAAGCTCAAAGATTATGAAAAATACTTGCCTTTTGCCTTTTTACCAATATTAACTTTTTCTACATAGAACAGCACTATTTAAGAGCCAATAATGAACATCTGTTTTCATGGAATACACACAGAAGTGAGACTATTCAAGGGGCAGCCTAACAATGAACTGTTCAGACATCAGTCACCACCCTCCTCTGCCTTTCTTGTGCTTCACTCCTCACTTAAAATGAAGTCATTTACTGATCCAATGTGAACCAGTGATTAGAAAGCCCTTTGAAAATGGAGCAGCTATGTAACAAACAGACAAACAAACAAACATTAAATGCGAACACAAGAGGTATGTGCACACAAGGAACACTGTTGAATGACATATTCTGGGTCCTTAGTGCTTCCAAATGTGGAAAGCTCTTATTAAAATTAATTCAGAAGTAATTATACCCAAATCTCTGCTAAAACAGCCCTGGGAGAGGATCTCACTAACCTGGGGAGCATGTTTGAAATACAGATGGCTATTCTCTCCCCAAGGGTCTTTCAGAATTTCCAGAGCATGTGTATTTTGACAGTTTCCCAAGTGATTCTAATACATATCTGTTTTGCCCTCTCTCTTCCCCATTTATTTGAAAATTACCACTCTAGAGAATTCTTCCATGTAGGGGAAATGCATATGGAAATGTACTAACACACAATTATGTCAACTGCCCATCATATGGCAAATACAGTCCTGGGTACTTTTACATGATCCCATTTAATCCTGACAACAAACCTGAGAGTATCTTCCCCACAACTGAGGCTGCAAGGCTAAAAAATTTGCCTAAAGTCATAGAACTATAAATGGCAGACAAAGAATTCAAGCCTGGGCTCAACTCCAAAGCCAGCACTCTTCCCTCCACACCATGCTGCTTCAGAGTTACCGCGGGCCTTCTTCCCTCCAACCATTCTATTATTATTGCCTCAATCCACACATTTGTGGGGTGCTGTTCTACAAACATGCAAGACTTTTAAAGACTCAATCACTAGCTCCTGCCCTTAAAAAAGAAGCAACTTCTAAATCACAGAATGATCAAAAGTACTGGATCATCCATCTTAGAGTAATCAGAATCTCACCTCACGACATAAAACCAGAAGGGAAAAAATCATATTTACATCTCAGGACAATAATACCAAATTGAACTCCTAAGAATAAACACCCGAAGAAAATACATCTGCAACAAACTTACAAGCCTAATGTATGAGCACTTCAACTGCTACTTTCACAGACAGCAGCTACACTTTGACAATGTTTCTCATTCTATCTGCCCTACCTTGGGTTAATGGCAACTCAGTATAACTAAAAAATATCCATAATTTTGACCAATATGAGATACTCCCTTCACTTTTCTCAGTCACTAAATCAACTATGTGCATGTTGGCTCCTAATAAATTCTTGAAAACTCACTTCCATATGAAAATGCCTCTAAGACTGGTATATATTAATAATAAATGTCTGCTTTCTTAACCCAATATCCAGGTGTAATAATGGAACTTTAGAGTATTTGGAGGTGAGGTCTTCTGTTAAAACCAGGATGGCCTGGAGATGTCTGTACCTAATGACAAGGTCACACTAACTTGCTTTTACTTGACCTACCTTGTTTTTCTTGCCTCGGGGTTCACTTAGAGCCAGCTCATCTTGAAGTAGCTCTACTCTCTTGGCAAGCTGCAGATTTCGGAATGTCAAACTATCCATTTCCTGCTGTAGTTTTCTCAGTGATTGATCCTTCATTTTCAGTTGTTCCTACATCAAAGTGAAAAGAGACCATTCCTTGTAATTTAGCCTTAACATTTAAAAATAATGGGAAAAAAATATTTTTTCTTTCACCAAAATATAATCAAAACCTCTTGCTTTAAGGAATTCAAGTTGTATGTTTATCATTACAGTTCCTATGTTTTTAGGTCTGTTTTGTAGCAAAATCATTTTCTGGCCAAACCAAGCATACTTAAAAATAAAACTAAAGGAGTATATATACTGAAGTAACAGTCATCGACTTAGAGTAAGATATCCACAACTATGTGTTGTTATGTAATGTTCTTATACTTGTGTCTGGCAGTGAGGAGACGCAAAGTCTGAGGCTACAATTTTATAAACTTGAAAGTTTAAAGAGAACCTCAGACTCCTGATGATGCCCTTTAGTAATCAAGAATGGAAGAAATATATTTGTATTCACTATTTCCTATAAATCCTCCTTGAATTTAAGTCAGTCGAAATGAAGTCTTTTTAATACACTTTAAATTATTCTGATTTGTCAAAGATAAAAATCAGTATTATCCTACCACAAGAATACTTTCAGATGTCTTAAAATGAAAATAGCAACAAAATCTAAACAACACATCTTCTACTGACCATTCTGTACTGTTTATACCATGGTAAGGGTAAGAAAATGGGAAACAAGAGAAATATTTAGTTTCACTCTATTTTTTTAAAAAAATATTATTCTGGGGCTTCCCTGGCGGTCCAGTGGTTAAGACTCTGTGCTTCCAATGCAGGGGGCATGGGTTCGATCCCTGGTTGGGGAATTAAGATCCCATATGCCACGTGGCGTGGCAAAAAAAAAAAAAAAAAAAATATTCTAACTATATTTTCCTTACAACGTTCTGACAACTTTGTGTTCACTGGTAATCAAACACAGATGGCCATATGCTACCATATATTGAAAGATCTGTGCTTTTATTACTTTCATTGAAAAACCACTATAAAGCTAAGAGGTCAAGTTTTAATGAATAGGGGATTTAAGGATATTGAAACAGCAACCTAAAAACCAGAGGCTGGTGTCTACAATCTATTGACATTATTTGCATGTTGAGGGCACAGCTAGAGGGATAGAATATGTGTTCATTAAAGAGAAATACATTTTCCTTTTCTGTTGTTTGTTTAGTAAGTCCTTAATTTTTACTTGAAGTTCAATGGTAAACTTAGGCTCAGCCCATGTCCAAATTACTATATATTTCAAATTATAGAAATTCAAATCAATGAATGCTTACTGTATCTAACAACTCATTGAAGAGACAAACCCAATATAATCAAATGCCTACTCTAACAGAGACATCCTAACATTCCCATTGAGCAAACTGGCAAACTGTCATTCTCACTATAATTTTAATGACCACTGTGATGAATAGTAAAACATAAAGTAATTTCTTTACATCCTTATAATTAGTTAATCACTAGTTGACTAATGTTCCAACTCCATTAACCAATCAGTAATTTCAGAAGACATCCATCCCAATCTCTCTGTAAACCCTAGTTTCTGCAATGAGGACGATAATAGTGGCGTCTGCCCTCACAGAGCTGTTGTAAAAACTGAGATAATGGATGTAATGTGTTAGCGTAATGTCTGACACACAGTGGGTGCTCAATAAATAGAGCCTGCTATTGCCACCACGGCCACTATCACAGGGTTAATTGAACACAACCAGCAACAGGAGGGTATCAAACACCAGAGTGGGCTACTAAGACGAGCTAGGAAATACCTTCCCCAGTAATAGGTTTTAAACATCATGAGGAGAGATAATAATCATTTCTTCAGTGATTTAGGCAAAATAATAACTTGGCTAACATATCCTGACTTTAAAGCTTATTTTTAATCGTCTCAGCTTGGGCGCAGAGAGCTTTGGGAGTATGGGTAAGATGCTCTGAACTATCTCAGCCCTGAGTCTGTGGAACAGCACCTGAGGAGGGAGCGCCCTCAAGACACAGATTTCTCTAGTGGAGGATCCAACACCAGCCACGTGAAAAGACGTATCTCTGGGTCTTGGAGACCTGAGTGGAAATTCTCAGGATATGTCACTGGTTGGGGCCTACTCCAGAAAGAGAGAAGAGTAAAGGGAATCTTAAGCCCTTTTCTCTAAAGAGGAAGCAAGGGAGAGAGCGAAAGAATGAAGTAGGCAGTATTAACTGAAGCTTGGCCAAGAAGGAATCCATATCCTCGAATTAATTTTTCCAATTAAAAATATCACTAAGCAGTACTTATTATATGCCTACTAAAATGAGGTAGAAACATATTCCTGCAACTCCCACCATATTTCTCCTCTCAGTTAAAGGTGCTCATGGTAAGATGTATCACTCAAACAGTCCTCATTAGCACAGGTTATTACTATTAAACAGCTCGACCTCAAAGCAAGATTGATGGACTAAATGATTCACACTTTCAAATCCATTTAGTACGGGACAACCATCGGCTGAATGCTTGGGATATAAACATGAATATGACACAGACCCACAGAGTGCTATCAGATGAAGCCAGATAAGAAGCCCCATTAATCCTGATGAATTTAGCTATGAGAGAAGCAAGGTATGAGAGAAATGCATTACACACAGTCCAATAATACATTTTTGTAATTTCTAGCTAAGGAAGTCAAAGCACATCACATTCATACCTAAGCAAGTAGGAAAGTTAAACACAAAAAAACTCTATTACCCTCCCCTATTCCTAGTGAGTCACTGTCAGAGTTGGGAATTTAACCCAGAAAACTGAGCTGAATTCCCTGCTGTGAGCCTCACCAAACACTAACCTAACCCTCACAACACAAAATACCCTGTAGCCTACCTTTAAAGCAGCAGAATTTGCTTGTTCATCCACGACACCTTTTTTCAAGACCTGATTCTGAGCCCGAAGCTGAAAACAGAGGAGGTAATAATTAATTTTTAATATAAAGCAATCACTTATAGCAAGGAAATCACTTACCATAACTTTACAGGAATCAGTACGCTGAGTAACTATCTGCTCACATATATATGAGAACAAGAATATTAGCCCGGAAGAGAATAGTAGAGATCATCAGTCTGCCATTTTACAAATAAGGACACAGAGGCTGAGCTGCCCTATGACATAAAACTAATCAATGCAAAATTGAGACTAAAATCCAGGTCTCTCGACTTCCCGTACATGGTTCTTTCTATGAAACCAATCACCTCCCTAAATAAAAACTAATACAATAGATAATAGGGTACTGAGTATGTCATTTTCCTTGAAACTCTGACACACCATTCATCTGTAAAATACATACAACTGGACTGATTATGGAATAAGAATTCAACAGAAAATCAAAATATAGGGCGTCAACATACCCAGCAGTACACTGTGCCTAATATTAGTCATGCAAATATCATCGCCCGCAATAGCCTCAGGAATGGAGGACTTTTAATCAGGCATCAGTGGAAGCAGTGTACAAAAGCAACTAAGAAGCAAGCTCAATTTAGAAATTGATAATAATAGCAGCTAGCATTTGAATGCTCCGTTACATACCAGGCACTGTCCTAAATACTTTACATACACTACCTCATTAATCCTCACAACCCTATGAAATAGGTGCTATAATTATCGCCATTTTACAGATGAAACCAAGGTACAGAGAAGTTCAGTGGCAATGCTGAGATTCAGACAGCAGCAGTTTTGACTCCAGGCATAATGTCAGTAGACAATATTGGCTACTATTTTATAAAGCTACATATGAGAAAAGTAGTGGGCTGGAGAGGTGACAGAAGCCTTTGAAGGGGTAGGACTTGGGCTTCTTTCACAGTTTTTTTTTTTTTAATTGAGGTCTAACTTTATTTTAAATAAAATATACAAAACAGAAATTATACAGCTTGATGAATTTCTACTTAGGTATACATCTGTATCACCACCACCAGCAGGGTTTTGAAAGATAAACCTTCTGTAGTTATCAGCAAGCACAACACAGAGCATATGAGTATAAATATACCAGCCCAGTGCAGCTGAAGCAAAAGGGTTACAGACTAATTTCCTGAGGACTCAGTACAGAGACCATGACAGACCAGGTTCTTCTCTGAGAAACTAAATGAATGGGAGAATTTTATCTATGAGCTTAAAAAAAAAATCTACTTCTAGTTCTGCATAGCTCACATCTGTCTCCTGAGAACAGAAATGACTTTTTTCTATGCCAGAAGAGTAGGAATATTTGAATATTTATGAATTATCTATGATTGTTTTTGTGTGACAATGACATTAGAGATGAGTAGATGCAACAGAAACCATATGGCCCCAAGCCTAAAATATTTGCTCTAGAAGTTCAGAAGAGAGAAATAAATCCCACTTTAATGTTGACTTCCATTGTGTAGTATTTTACCTTTCAAGCAATATGAACATATTCTTGGATAATGTGCTACCTAGGTAAGAGAATTCAAGAAATACTTTCAAATCCATATAGCCAAAGGACAGCGATACTACTTCAGTCTTTAGGTTTCATTTCATACCCCTGTTCTAACTTTGCTCTCTGATCTTCTTTGTGTGGTATTTAGAAGGTCCTAATGACTGCCTCAAGGACTAGGGATGAAGCTTGAAATCTGCTGAACTGACAATTTTCTGTAGGACCAGAACTACATCAGTTTTCAAACAAATAAAAAAAACCTCACCTTTAATTTTTAAGGCACACTTATAAGCTACATAAAGCAAACTGAACAGCCTACTGTGTCATAAAAGCAAAATTAAAGTTTTCAAATTACTGCTGTTTGGAACTTAATCTGATTATAATGAAAAAATGATTTCGATTTTCCTTTGGAAAATATTGTTTGCTAAATTGGTAACAATTCAAACACAGTTTCAATGGAAACATTCAACAGAAAATGCAGCTTTTAGAAGTATTTATCGAAAATCCCTTTCTATTGTTTGGTAGGTAGAAAAGGATAAGCTTGGCCTACTCCACTGCCTTGTTACCTGCACTTGGCATTTGGCGTCTTCCTGCATTTCAGCATCACTACTGCCACATCTCTGCATTACTGACCAGCATCTTGTCAAATGCGGATACTGCTGTGACCAGTCTGGTCTTTTAGAATCTTATCTTTCTCCTCACCAGCATTCACCACAGTGGGAGGCAAATGCAGTGTTTGTTTCAGAAAGTTACCAATGGTCACTAATGCCTCTAGGAGACTAGCGTGGAGATTCCAGTGGATGTGAATGTAACTGAGAAACAATTGCCTGAAGTCTCCACTAGGACAGAAAAATTCTCCAGAAGGTGACATAGCCTATTTCTAGTAGCTGTGCCATGCACTTTTGTTCCATTCAGTAGAGAAATGGTCCTCTGAATCCCAACTCAGAAACCCTTAGTCCTTTTCAAACCTCATTTTTCATTGTGTTGTAATCTTTTGATTAGCTTTACCTTTACTCTGAAAACACAGCCTTTTCTCATTTTTACCAACCAAACTCCAACTGTTCTTCTAGAGCCTACTTCCCACTCTGGTCCTACTTCTTCCATAAATTTTCCCTAACCATTCTCTATAGTGCCCCTATGGTCCACAGTGACCTTGCCCTCAGTTCCCTGGGCACTTGCTAGTAACAAGACATCTCTTATTTAAACTGTTTAGTTTTAATTTTACTTTTTAAAGCAGTACATTTTATGTTTACTAATTTATGTATGATTTCTATACTCAAGTCCCATCTGCCAATTAAACTGTCCTTCACAATAGAGACTACAGTGTACCTCCTTGTATCTCCTGCGTACAATGAAAGATCAATGCTATGGATAGAGAAGGCACTCAATAAATTTTTAGTTAATTAATCAAATTAAGTGCTGTAAATAAAAGGTGTTTAAATGCAACACATTAAACAACTATAAGAGATAGCTAGACTCTTCTGTGTTAGAATCACTCTTACATAACTGTTTCCATACAGTGGACATTCTGACATTTATACACGTTTTATGACCCTATAAAACAAATCTTTAGATGTATAGCTTTTCTCCATTACAAAGTAATGTATGCAACAGATAACCTGAAGCCCATCCCTAAGCCTCACCAAAACCCTGATTTCAGCACACCTGAGTCATCTGCAAACCACAGCTTCAGCATCTCTGGCCTGGACGATCCTTAAAAACACTCCCAGTTCTAACATTTTAGGTATTCTACAGTGCTGGAATACCACTTAGTCTCTCTCTCTGCCTACTAACTTGCTCCTCACTGTGGAAAAGGATAAAGTAACTGAAGGCTACATACTATGTACTAATGGCTGGGGTCATTTTGTCACTGAGTTGGGAAGAAAACCTTTTTTCAGAGCTGCCCTCAAACGAGACCCTTTCTCTAGCTCCTGCTCTTATGCGAGGAAATTCATTAGGATGAAACCCCCACTCCCAATCCTGTAATCTAGCTGCCTCACCAGGGACTGGTTGGAAATTCAGCTGAATTGAAGACGGAGAGTAGGACACCCCTTGTCTTTCTAAAGCCTTGCTATTCAAAGTATGGTCTGCAGACAGCTGCAGCAGCATCACCTAGGAGCAGAATCTCAGGCCCCACCCCAGACCTACTGAGAAAGGATCTGCAGTTTAACAGGTCTTCAGGCTAGTCACATAGACACTTACGTTTGTGATGATCTAGGGGCTAAGCTAGCACAGCTCAACAGGGTAGCCATATCCACATGTGCCTATTTAAACTTAAATTACGTAAATAAAATCCAAAATTCATTTCCTCAGCTCAGCTAGCCACATCTCAAGTACTCAATAGCCCCACATGCTAGTGGTCACCCTACTGGACAGCAAATATGCAGAACGTTCTCATTCTCCTGAAAGTTCCATTGGATAGCACTGAACACAGACCGTTTTCCAATCCACCTTTAGTAGTGAACCCTACACATCAGGGAAGAAAAAAGCTGATACTCCATTTTAATCCAATCCAGCCCCAGAGTCTTTCTCTCACAAGAGAGGGCGATCAATCAGGTTCAGCCAAGCCCTGCTATCTGGAACGCAAACACACCAAATCGAGACTGATCCTTTCCCAAAATGAGCATCTCTAAGAGTATAAGTCTAAAAAGTTTCAAAAGGCAATCTCCTTTGTAATTAAAGAAGCATCAATTGCAAAGTCAACTGTTAGAGAAATAATGGATGTTTACCTTTCCCATTGGCTTTTTTTTTTTTGCCAGTATCACGTTGTTTTGATTACTGTAGTGTTTTTTTTTTACTATTTATTTATTTACTTGGCTGTGCCAGGTCTTAGTTGTGGCACATGGGATCTTCGTTGCCGCGTGCAGGATCTTCCTTGCGGCACTCGGGATCTTTAGTTGCAGCATGTGGGATCTAGTTCCCTGGCCAGGGATCGAACCCGGGCCACCTGCATTGGGAGCGTGGAGTCTTACTCACTGGACCATCAGGGAAGTCCCCCCATTGGCTTTTATTGCCTTGAAAAGAGCTTTAAAAAGATCATCTGAGCAAAAGCTACTATACTGATACCATTTCCTGAGCAATGATTCTGGTATGCATCCAAACGACTGGAGAGGTTTGTTACAACACAGACTGCTGGGTCTGACCACCAGTTTCAGATTCAGTAAGTCCTGGGTAGACCTAAGAATTTGTATTTCTAACCCATTCCCAGCCACTGATGACGCTGATCCAGGGTCTACACTTTGAGAACCCAGAGTAACACAAACACTGGAAAGATCAGAACTTCAAACTTGCCTACACGTTAACATGGTGCCAGGCAAGAGTGCAGAAGCCCATTCAGAGAAAGCAGGCTGAAATCAAATGAGCCAGGACTGCATGCTCTCAGCCTCATCTCCAGAATGAGATATACCAGAGCATCAGAAGCAGAGCAGGCCGTGGAAGAAACACCAAGTAAGAAATAGTCTTTGAAAAATGAGGGCTTGATTAACTTTCCCTCACGTCTCAAAGGGGCAGCCTCTGTCTATTACCTATTAACTTCATAGACCTCTGAAAACCAGCCTCTACATACCATTCGCCTCCCCCAAACTCTGTTAAACCAGAAATGTTTAAAGCCTCCAGTGATCGCCTAATTGCCCAAACCAGAGGGTCTTAATCTCCACTTTTACTGACCTTTCCATAGCACTGTTTCAGCAACCTGTCCACCTCAGAAATTCTCACCTGCTTCGGCCTCCATGGTTCATCTTTTATCTAACGAAACTCTCAGTCTCTTTAATGGGAGCTCCTCATACTGCTTTTTTCCTTCTCAGGGGGAAAAAAGATGATGATAGAAGTTACAAAGGAAGAAATGGGCCCCCTCCCGGAACACAGGCCAAGATCTGCATTAAGTAAGAATGAGAAGATTCTGCAAATGTCCTTGGTTTAGGGATCATGCTTGCTGCTCTCTGGATTTGCAGGCCTCCTTCTACATACTAAAAGGAAATCGTTTTTCTTTGTATCCTAAATAAGGAAAAAGAAAGATGTAACTGGATTTCAACATCAGCCCACAATTTCTGCACCGGGGAGGCTATCAAAAAGGTAGAATACCCCCTTCCACAGGCACAGGGCTGAAGGTATCCATAGCATAGATCTTATCTAGAAATTGCTTGGCACTAGAACTGACAGGCAATAAAAAGCACATGAAATCTTTTGACCAATCCGTGTTCTCACATTCTGAAATTTCCATCACACTGCAATTAAAAGGATGAAAAATGGTCTGGCCCAATATGGGAGATAACCTGAAGTCTGGCGGACCTCCTATAGTCTCCTCAGCATTTCCTCCTACTGTCACATCCTTCCCACAGGTGTTCCCCAAAGAATCTACCTAAAGTGATTAACTCTCAAAGTTCAACCCTTGTCTTTATAGGAACTATTGTCTTTATGGGAATTATTACAAAAGCTTTGGCCTTTGTCCTGACTTTCAGCCAGTCCCTCTCCACTAGAAATTTTCAGCAATTACCCCAACATCATCTCAAGCTACTATGTGAATAAGATAGCTTCAATGTACCTTCCAACCATAAATACTATGATTGCACCCAAACTTCGCTCCAAACTGGCTCACCTTTCTGCCCACCTTCCTCTGCCAGTGGCAGTGGTGTTCCCTCAGAGCAGTCCATGGGTCACCTTCAGGGTCAACTCTCAGTCTTCCCTCACTCATCACGTCCCACAGAATGAATGAGACACAAGGATGACTACCTTGACACCTTTATATCCTTCATAAGGTTGCTGCTATGTGTAAAGCAGGCACACAAAAAAGAGGTAAACTAAACCATATTTTTTAACCATAATTCCTAAATCTAAGCCCCCCTCTCCATCTCAACAGCCACAAAAGTTTATTTAATCCTACGTTACACTCCCCAAAATTATTCAGAGAGCCTATAGTCTGGTCTTCTTTTCACCAATCTTTCCCCATTTCAGTCCATCCTCCACACAGCTACCAGTTTTCTTTCTAAAAGCAATGTCACTCTCCTGTTCGAAAACCTTTAACGTCTCTCCATTACTCAAAGTTCAAACTTTTTGACAACCACAACCCTTCATGATCAGGTCCAAATTATCCCTCCAACCATATTTCACCACTCTCTGTCGTGTATCTGAACATGCCTTCATGTCAGCAAACAGAGACTGTCTCCTTTGCCTGGAGTACTACCATCCATCCCTTCCTCCCTATTCCCTACTCCCCAGTCTAAGTAACTTCTACCCTTACCCGCCATTTCTTCTGTGCTCCCAATGAGCTAACACTTGTCATCCTGTATCATAATTATGTACAACACTTGAACATTCTATTAAAGGATTCTCCTTAAGGTGGAACTCTGCCTCACTCAACAGGGCCCGGCAGATTGTTCACAGGTGGCACTAATTGTCTGCTGAACAAAAGAGCTTACAAATCCAAAATAATAAAATCTTTCAAAGTTTTTATTACTTCTGGGAGGCTATACAATTATTTCAGCAATGCAACCACTGTGCAAAATATTTCTGGAAACTCTTCTGCCATTTGGAATTGCCTTGTGAGCTTGTTTACTCTCCAGAAGAGAAAATCAGTCCCCTTACTTTATACTCATGAAACATTTTCACCCAAACATAGTACAGCCAAGTTTGAGTACTGTCATCCTCCACCCACCACACTTCACCACATGGATTTGTTCCAAATAAGTTCTGGCCCTTTCAAACAAAAAAATATTCCTTCAAAGGATAAAAACTCGCCATCACTAACATCATGCCACAGGCCCTTAAGGCAAATTCAAATGGAAACACAAGAAGTTTTGCCAATGGTAGCACCCATGGAATAAGTGTAGCATCCCAAAAGGTTCCCATTTGACGGTCACAAGACTTACGTGTGTATGTTTAGGCACAGGTTTTATTTTTCAAAGAATATTTCATTTTGCCCTGCTGCATATTTGTTACCCGAAATTTAAAAATGTGTCTCAGTTTCTCCAAATTGTAAAAAAGGGACTAAGTCTTCCAGTTGCTCCCATGAATACCAAGATCATTGAAAACGAAGTTTAATGACTAATGAATCAACTTCCAAAAATGTAAGATTCTGCTTTCAGTACTTCATTAGAATATTCTTGAGGCAGAACCACCCTACCCATTAAAGCAGCACCACTCTTCTCCGAGAAAAGGGTTCCATCGTTTAAAATACTGATGCCATAAATACAACAAAGGGACAGGTCCCTACTTTGCTTAATTCAACATGTATTGAGCACCTGCTGGGTGCTCTTCCCCAGTCCAGGTGATCCAAGAAACAGAGAGATAAAAGGACACAGCCCTAGCACTCAAGCTTTCAAACTCATTTTCAGACAACATCTTGCCAAAGCACTGAACCCATTCATAACCATCCATCTCTGGTGAAGGAGTTTACACGCATGACTCTATTTACACTCCTGACTTGACTGGGGGCAGATAAATCTCTTTATCCTCATATCATCCCTGTGGGAAAGGAGAAAACTTGATCCTTCCCATTGCTGGGCTGGGAAAATTGAGGAAGCAGCCGTAGAGGGATGGTCCTCACCTTTCCCCGTCCCCTCCCGACCAGCACCAGAGGCGGAAACCAGGATTTCTGACATCCCAGTCCAAGCCCGCTAGTTCAGTGAGAAGGAAGAATCAAACTCCTGCTCCTTCCCGCAGAAACGCACACGGACCCAGACACCGCCCGGCCCCATCTCCTGAGAGCTGCAGGTGAAGGCACGGTAATGGTGGACAGAAGAGGCGGAGAAGAGAGAAGGGGCGCGCTCACGTTCCCCCCTCCGCCGTCCCCCTGTGTCCCGACAAGTCGCTGCCAAGGCAACCCGAGGCCGCAGGGCCGGGGACCCCCTACTCCCCGCATACGACGGGTACCTTCGAATACTCCTGAGCCAGCTTCTGGTATTTCCCCTGCAACTCTGCCGAGGCCATGGCCTCCCCCGCCCCGTCCAGGCCAGGATGCCCAGGCCGCTCAGCCCCGCCCCCTCGCCCCCAACCCCAGACACGCTGCCTGGTACGGTTCCGCCAGAGCCTGCCCGCTCTGCCACCACCGCCGCACCTCCTCCTCCACTTCCGGGTTCGCCCGGTGAGAGGAAGGCGGAGTGGGGCCGGGGGCGGAGCGACCACCGGGGGCGGGGCAACGTCTTGACATCACGGCCCCCACCCTTCCGCGCCCGAGCACGTGCGCGCGCAGGCTCCCCGGCGCTCCTGGGCTCTGCCTCTGGGACTGGGGGGCGCCATCTTGACGCATGGTCCAAGATGGCGGCCTAGAACAGGGAAGGAGAGAATGGAAAGGGGAAGAGAATGAGAGCCCACAGAATGGGCGGGGGACGGTGGAGAGGGGCGGTGGTTGTGAAGAACCGAGGACCGGAAGAAGAAACATTCTAAGCGCATCAAGAATTCTGGCCGGACACACCGCCCTCCCCCGCTGGTTCCCATGGCAACCGTCTGGCGTTTGATGGTTATGTCTTTCAGAAGGTGCACTGAGAGAAAGACCTCTATATTCCGCTACCTCGTTTTCCGGATATGGTAGCTCCGGACATGCCCTGCATTGTAAACTCTCAGACCTCCCCCAAATTTATAACGCTCAGTGCTGCCACCCTCCCCTGCTCCAGACCAGACAAACCTCCATTGTCTTATATTTTGACACTGAGATGTCTTTGTGTCCATTCTCTACCCACTCCATTCGCCCACCC